AACCTCTAACTTATGAATATACCTACTCCCTCCAATGGAACCAGTTCCATTGGAGGCATGCAAATAGTTGATTTATGAATATACCTACTCCCTCCAATGGAACCAGTTTCATTGGAGGCATGCAAATAGTTGATTTATGAATATACCTAGTCCCTCCAATGGAACCAGTTCCATTGGAGGCATGCCAACTAGTTGATGTATGAATATACCTAGTCCCTCCAATGGAACCAGTTCCATTGGAGGCATACAACTAGTTGATATACGAATATACCTAGTCCCTCCAATAGAACCAGTTCCATTGGAGGCATGCCAACTAGTTGATATACAAATATAACTACTCCCTCCAATGGAACCAGTTCCATTGGAGGCATACCAACTAGTTGATGTATGAATATACCTAGTCCCTCCAATAGAACCAGTTCCATTGGAGGCATACCAACTAGTTGATGTATGAATATACCTACTCCCTCCAATGGAACCAGTTCCATTGGAGGCATGCCAACTAGTTGATATACGAATATACCTAGTCCCTCCAATGAAACCAGTTCCATTGGAGGCATCCCTCCAATAGAACCAGTTCCATTGGAGGCATACCAACTAGTTGATGTATGAATATACCTACTCCCTCCAATGGAACCAGTTCCATTGGAGGCATACCAACTAGTTGATGTATGAATATACCTAGTCCCTCCAATAGAACCAGTTCCATTGGAGGCATACCAACTAGTTGATGTATGAATATACCTACTCCCTCCAATGGAACCAGTTCCATTGGAGGCATGCCAACTAGTTGATATACGAATATACCTAGTCCCTCCAATGAAACCAGTTCCATTGGAGGCATATATTATGAAAAGACCTAAAATAACCCCTTCATAACCCCAACCTATATAGAAAAGTCCTATATAATAGCACCTTGCTCTTGACCTAACGGCCTGGACTGGCCATGCTGAGCGACAAGGCGTGTAATCTCTGTCGGCTCAGTTTCCTCAATTATGCCCGCGCGCTGGTGGCCATTCTCGGCAGTGTCCACGACATCGTAGTGCACACCTCGCACGTAACACCTTTGTCCTTGAATCTCTCCCTCGTCTTTGTATCCTCGAGCGCCAGCCATGCCTTCCACACACGCAAGCACAGCTCCAAGGAAAACCACCGCGTTCCAAACGGTTATGAAATATGTTCCCCCAAGCGTCATGGCTGATGTTGCATATACGAGGGGCGCCCATGTGAGAACATACTGATGGAGAAGGATAGACAGCTTTTGCTGTTCTGGAGCAGGGACAACGCCATGCTTCGTAAGTGGAAAGGTGAGAGCAAGGGCTGTTGTGAGATAAGCCAACGACAACGCAGACACAAGCACAAGCCAAGGGTGAGTGTGAATGACCTGACAATTGATAAGGGAGCTTGAAGAACGAGGAAGTACACGCTCACGAATGGATTCAGCTTCACATATCCTACCACTAAAAGCATCTGGAAGGCAACACCGAGTAACAAAGCAGTCCAGAATTTGAACCAGACCCAAAAGCTTTTGAGGAAATGTTTGATTTCTGCCGATGCACGCACCACAAAGCTCTCGCGATGTACATTACCATTTGCAGCACGATAGTGTCCAGAACGAATACGAGACGCGACTCGGATGATATGCTCGAAGTAAACCAACATCAGGAGAATGACAGGCCCGACGATAAGGAGGACAATGTTTGCAATCCTTAGAGTTTGGAATGTGAACATGATCATAATGGTACCAAAAACTAAGAGAAAAGTCAAAGATGCGGCCAGAAGAAATAGCAGAGGAGACAATTTACGGTCGAAATACACTGGCTCACTTCCTTGTCCAATGGACTCGGTCCTCGTTTTTCCCTTTACATCATTTGCGAGCACGAGACTCGAGAACAGTGTTCCCTCCATCATTGCACATAACGCGTTTTTGCTCTTGTCGCCAGACATACCAGGGATAGAATCGTACTTCGTATGATACCTGCTCCTTCCGCGGTAGAAAGCAAAATCTAGCCCCTTGAGTCCAGCTTGTTCGTAAACCGAGTAGTCTGTACCACTGCGGATAACACCACGCGAAAACGCATCGCCAGTAAGGACATTTGCGTGGGGATGAGAAGTGCTCCAGGACGCCAGAGGAGCGCGAGAAGTCGTTCGGAAGAGTAGTGGTCGTCTTCAACATATCAGTCAGCAAAGTAATGCAGGACAATTACATTAAACCGCTTACCCTCCTGCGGCAGCGCCTTCCAGGTTCAAGAAGGTATCAGTGACATTGCCCATGGAATGCTCCATGAAACTGGCAGCTAGATAAGTGAGTGTAAAATAGAAAAAAAAACTATAGCGTACACATGAGCTCCATTCAAGCCATCCTCTTCGCCATTATTGATGTTGAACACTACCATCCTGCTGGGCCTGTTCTCCGCAAAGTACTTCACCATACTCAAAAGTGTCACCACACCCATACCATTATCTGTCGCGCCAGGAGCGGTACTGACAGAATCCCAGTGCGCACTGAGCAAAAGTCCACCTGACTCTTGATACTCCTCGTCGCTCCCAATATATTGTCAGATTCATGATATACTGCGTATGGGTTGGTGGAGAGGAGTCCTGCGGCCCACGACGCATTTGAAAAAAGGTCGAAATCCACAGAGACGTGATCATAGGAAGAAGCTATGTCCTTGACGCGGTTCAAGAGGTAGGACCGAACTAGAACATTGGCATGCGAGTTGAAAGAATGCGGATGAGTGGCCACCTGAAAGAGTTAAGATGAACTACTTATTTGCATAGAGATAACGCACCTCGTGCAAGTCTCTGTATGCCTGCTGAAAATCTAATTCTACAACAATATATTGATAGTGTATACTTACCTCGGCAAGTAGTGGTAGCGTTTAAGTGGATAATGTGGCTGTGCAGAGCGCCTTTCATATTAATAATAATAATGAGCCCGATTTGTCCAACTGACGTGTTGTGCAATAGCCTGAGTACTCTGCTTCTTCTAACCCGTCATGTCCCTTGTAACCCGCTGGTTCTCAAAGGTAAGCATTAGCCCATTTTATGTGGTTTTGCGCTAAGTTTTATCTACTAGAGTGGTTCAGAGAACTACGAGGAAGTTCTCTCTGCACTTGCAGCAGATGTTGCACGACGACAGACACGTCTAGCAGAGATCCGACTCCGTGAGCGGCGGACAACACTCCAGTTCACGTTTGGAACGCTCTCTCTATGGATCTCATTTGTATACTTGTGGTATGCGCGTATGCTTCCTGCAGCGTGGCATGACTCGCTGCTAGCGAAATTAGCAGTCCTAGTGGGACCTGTAATGTACGTGCCACCATACATTTGAATTCATTCCCGCCACATTCATATGTCACCCTAGAATATTATTTACACGACGAATGATGCAGATATGGTATTCGTGGAAAGGCGGACGCGAAGGTGAGTACCTCAGAAACCAATTCTTTCACCATTCAGTGAGAGTGTGGCAGAAAAAACCCTCAGAGTTGTCACTCAAAAGCAACGAGCCAAAGTTGAAGAAATTAAGAAAAAGACCAACTATGACTCAACACGGAGCCTGCTTGAGAAATACGCTGATCCTGGTACCCCGATACGGCGTACGCAACTTCCTTCACAGCCCCATACACCGCTGCCCGCAAACCCACAGGCACACCTACAAACACCAGTCCGACAAAGGAATCTACCTCTACAGCTTTCGCGTGCGTATTACGTGTCGGGATAGTTTGACACTCTGACACATCCTGCAGCAACGCCACAGCCAATTCAGCCGACCCGTAAGCGGTGGTATGACAAACTTGCCTGATGCCATTCTGGGCGACGAGGAATCATCGATGAGCGTGGCTGCCTCGCGCTACGCATTGATTTGCCAGAAGTGCTTCTCACACAATGGGCTCGTTAAGGAAAGCGTCTGGGAGGACACCCGTGAGATCGCTCAAAACCTGTTCGCGTCGACATACTGATGCATCTGCCAGAGTACGTATGCCCGAAGTGTGGCTTCCTTAATCCTTCTGCTAGAACGAAGAGATTGAGACTTCAACGCACGCCGTCGCCACCCGCCAATGTGGATACAGACCCGATCGTATCACCGCAACCTGCCTCCATGGAGGGTGTGGAATCGACCGCATCGTCTGTCGACATGGTGCCTGAGAAGACAGGGTGAATCCAGTCGCGAGAGGTAGTTGGCCGTACATGAGGTAATACAAATGCAGACAGAGCACTGTTCGTTTCGATGATCTGATAAGCCTTGAGGACTTTCGCTTGGTTTTTAGCTATAGCATTATCATCACTATCACCAGTAAGTAGTTACAGTTGACCTCGCTTTGGTCCATCACACCCCTTTCGAATTCATATAATGTAGCATCGGTTACCAAGTAGTAGTTCGACTTGCAAGTTGCAACAAGAATTGGATTCAATTCTATCGCGTTACTGTTGTACCGAAGCAACTGCCTCCTGACAATCCTTGTAACTATGGATATCGTGGAAGTCTTCAGCATAGCATTAATATGCCTTATGATCAGACCTTAGTATGAAGCCGTTGTTGTTTATGTATCAAGTACCAGGACTTGGCCAGGACTCTGCTGACCTCCGTACCGCGTGTAGTGTATTCTGCATCTCGTCCTCGATCTCGATCCCTCACTCTTTTTGGAACATGTTATATAATTGAAAATTAAAAACAAATAAAGGTCAATGCATCCGTCCAGGACGGGAGACGATCACATGACGTGCCTTCAACATTACCATAGGCAGTTTTCACGAGTACTGGAACATCAGCCCAAACTCATCAATAACGCGCAGTGGACAGCACCCTGACGCGAGGTTATGAGACCATCCAGATTAGGAGCAGGCAAAGAAAACGGCATTCCTACCCCGCATTGCACATGAGGAGAGCCACGGCCCCGATCAATCAAACTGGCGCAAGGGATCAGATAAAAACGCCAAGGCAGCCAAATCCTTGCTCTGTCGCAGGCTTGGCGTAGGCTATACATCCGCAGGAGAACGTCCAATGTCAAGCGTGAGCGCTAGGGGCGCCGTATTCGGAACACGGTGTATCATGATGCAGTCTCTCGTATGGGCATCCTGTTTCCCTTCCTTCAAGAGCAACCACGCCTGCCATACAGGCTTATACCGAGTGGAGTACCTCAGCATATGATGATCCATACGATTTAATGAGTAGTAGGGTCGCCATCCCGGTGTCCCCCACAGGCGTCGACGTTCTGGATGCGCCAGCGCCAGCTCTTTTTTAATCTGCTTCGACGAGGGGGAAACCCGCGAGTACAGTGCCAACAGAATTATCGTTAGCGCTTGGTTAGATCTGTCCAATTTTTTTCATAAATGACGAGAACTCGCCTTGCAATACACCGATGGTCAGAGTGCAGCCGACTCGAAGCTCCTTTCGCCCACTTTTCTTCAGTGCAGACAACGACGTCACATCAGTGCCGCATACTCGGGCCAAGTTCCTCTTCACTCACATTTCTTCTGTCTCAACGCACATCAGCACCGTCCATCACTCAAGTTATTCTCTGCTACCGCTCCCATAAATCCCAAAGCCAACAAAACGTGCAGCAATATTTTTGCCCCCTAGGTTCTGTTGGTCCGCCGTCAGTCCAATAAACAGTCGAAGTTCTGGAACTCCTTTTTCTCTCTTCCGGTACTATGTTTCCACCATCTTCTGGAATTATCCGTTGACACTTCGCAATGTCGCATGTCGGTAAGTTGTTTTACTATATCAATATCGTTCATTGTTGATGATAATGTGTACATCAGGGATCTCCCTCTCGCTGACATCCTCGCGCACTAGTTGACCTTCCAATTCGTTCGGATTACTATGGAGCGTGACTCACAACTGCGCAGTACGACACTATCAGCAATCACTCCTCAGAAACTGACGAAATCCCTTGGTTATTAATCTAAACTTTGGCGTGGGTCGTTGGACGAATAATATACTAGCCTAGAGAACTCGACAAGCACAATGCAATACTATACAATCCAAGACTGAGGCCAACAAGGATGATCAACCGGGAGACAAGGATGAGGAACTCATACTTTAAACGTAAAACAAATTCCAGCTCTCGAACGTTATCGCCTGAGTTGAATTTCATGTTAGCCCCTCCAAACGCTCCGCTCCATACCCACAAAAGATGAGACACAAATGAATACAACTACAAAAACCTGCTCCTCCGGATCCAACCCCTAACCTGTTGATCATATGTGCGAGCCCAAAGCTCGACGATGAACAATAAAGATGGGGAGGTTCTTCACAAGATCATACACTCCCTTTGTAGGGGTACACTGTCGTGTTGTCAGTTTCTTATACTTACAGATCATTTCAAGAACCACATAGGCGCATCATTCCATCCCTGACTCAGCTGAAGCCCTTCATCATTTTCACGATGCAGACACCCAGAAAGATCGAGGGATTGGACTTCAAGAAGCGGGATCTTCTCAAGTCAGCTCTTTCTCTTACGTTCGCACGTGAATTCATCGCAACACCACAGGCTGGCTTGTCGCGAATTGGTCACTTGCAGCAAGACGTAACACGTGGGATCTGGCAGGTTCACTACCTTCCCAATCTCACACTCTAGTTGACTCACGTCGATCTACACATTCGAGTGCTCACGGCTGGCGAAGGAGCTCGTGTATCCCAGCCTGATATGGCGGGTTCTGGATCATCCTTCAGAAATTTGCAGCTTGGTACGTGGCTCATCAAATCCATCTTATTTGCAATGCTCCATTTGACGATATTCAGGCTATATAAATCCAACACTTGATATCGGGAAGATCGCAAATGTATGAGCCCTTTTTCTCGCTCAGAACCAAACCAATACCGCTGTATAGATGCATCCATACGCACAGATGCGGCTGAGTGTGTTGTTGCGTGCATCTAAAGTATGTCCATCTCGTCCCGAGTCCTATCTGTTGCACAGCCGTGAACTCAAACAATTCGCGAAACGAATGATACCATTCAAATTGTTCAATGGTATGTCGATAAGTTGTGTATGTTGGTGTGATTCTGGCGTCAGGGATATGCCTCCCTCCTGAGAGTCTACTATGGCCATAAGCATATCTGCACCTAGCTAAGTGAATGTCCATGGGCGTGTTCGCAGACATTGATGTTTTTTCCTGCCAAGTCCAAATGTAGACATGTGCATTATACCGCTTACAAGCGAATTTAGAAATCTCATGTTGAAAGGCTTTACATAAATCTTGATGGTAGTTCGAAACACTAGCTCTTGCAGTCGTTGTGGCTAGTGTCGAACTCTGAAATCAGTTGTCACATCGCTGAGTTTTACATTACTAGTGTAGTACTTGTCTGGTAAGTACATGCGATTTGTTAGCTGCAGCCTGCAGGGCAGTGCAGGCCAGTTACTTATTCAGGCGGTTACTATAATTGCCTCGTGTGTGTCCCAAGCTTATTGCACCAAGTCCACGCACCGGAACCTTTGTCAAAAAGCCATAATCCCATTCACCATTCCAACCCATCACCGCAGACTTTCCAAAGCATGTCCTCCAATAAAGGTGGCCCAAATCCCTATAATAACGGCGCTCCTCCCAAGTGAGATCACTATAGTTTTTGCGCGGGAAGGACGCTAGAAGGACTCATGGATGGACCACACCAGATACCTCAACGATTTTAGTAAAGCCCTTGCGAGCGAGGTTCGCATCTTACTGGCAGAGGTAGGAAAGCTTAGGGATGAGCGCAGGCAGCTTCAATTGTACGCATCCACCCTTTATCTGGCCAGTGTGTGTAGCTGACTGCCAGCGCGAGCAGCGAAATTGCCGAGCTTATGGCCGTTAAATCCAAACATGGAGCAGGAGGTGAATATTCTCCTGATTGGAGGCCACCGGTGAGTGCCATGGGATCTTGAGGCATCACCAAGTTCTGATGTACTCGTAGCCTCAGGAGCCGCCTCCGCCTCCACCTCCTGCAGCTTCCCCACCTCCAGAAGAAGGCTTAAGCGGCCCCGCCCGCCCAGCCTGGAGAGTCGTTCACAAACCACAAAGACGGGAAAAACCAGCTCCCAAGAGTCTTCCTGCTCCGACTCCCGTTCCTGCGATCGAACCTCCAAAGCCAAATCTGCCTGCATGGGCACAATGGAGGCGTATGTGTTATGTTGCTTCTGATTGACACCTCATGATTAGAATGATCTCCATGTTTTAGCAAATCCTGCACACGTACCGGCACCGATGCCTGCGCCTGTTTCCCCAAGGCCTGTGACACCAGCTGCACGTCCCGGTCTCTTCGGTATGACATTGTGTCCTACATAAATATGTAATTAACTTTTCATCGTCTTCAATTCCAGGTCCACCAACTCCCCCACCGAAGTAGAAGAAACATTATAGATTCCATCCGAATCGATATCAACCAATGTTTATATCCTCCATCTACTGTTGTTTCATCATCTTGAACGCCCTTGAAAGTTTTTATCTCTGAATTGAATGATGTCTATTGGAGTGTGCACGCAATTTATGTATATCTCCGGCTACTACACAACTAATGATCCAAGGTGCCTATTCTTGCTGCGTGAAATATTCCACTTGTGAATGAAAACATGAAGGCGTCGGGAAACAATGGAGTTATAGGTGGTGTTAGTTGATAGCACACGTTACAAAAAGAGTGGAAAAGAGATACTGCGAAAGTTGGGTATCGTGCAGGGGGAGATGCCGGTAGCCTGCAGATGACGTCAACACATAGTCACACCAGTCCTGAAGATACTAACCCATCGCTAAACTTCCAAGGCTGACGCAATACACAGCAATCGGCTCTTCATCGTTGTCGCCATCCCTGCGCACCGCGAAGCGCACAAAGATCAAATCAAACATATCACCAACACAGTCGAAAGGAAGGCTAAGTGCTTCCTGCCAAACAGGGTTGAAGCCATTGTTCTTGACCGAATTGGTGCGTCTGGACAGCAGTCGACCAGTAGAACCAGGTGAGGAAGGTGAAGGGGTTGCGGAAGAAGAGGGTGATTGGTTATGGGAAGCGTGCGGCCAGTCGGGAACATGGATGGAAACTTCAACGTATGGGTCTACCGTAGACTTATCCATGATCTCGTGCCCGAGGGAGTCTTTTGGACGGGGTAGCTGCTGAGCGGAGATGACCTGTGAAATCATAATAATTGCTCGCACCAGGTACAATGAGAAAAATACATACCACTATTTCAAGCGAATGTTGAGTATGCCGAGATAGCAACTCCTTGTCGTGTGTACGGAGGGCCAGGGGCTTCAAGACGTAGCCCGCTCGTCCGTTGCGCTGGAACATAGCATGGTTGATCATATAACCTAGATCTAGACGCCAATCAGCACAAATTTACGATAGTCAGTCTTAGAAATGCACCGAATGTCTGCCAATTGATAGCCACGAGCTGCGCACCAGCAGCCCAATAGCGATGAGGCAAGTAGTTAGACGAGTTCACTCTCAAGCCTTTTGGATATATTCGGACTAGATGCGTCCTATTGTGCTTGATAAGATCCACCATGCCTTGCTTCATCACCTTGTTAGCTGTCTTCTCTGAGAGAGAGAACATGTGTTCCGGTGCGTAGTGCTCTTTCTTGTTGATACCTCGGCACTTCACACCAACAGTGTATACAAGGAGACTCGCAACCGCGAGCGACATCTTAACTTTGCTAACATCGCGAAATTCCGGTCGAGCAGGGGGCTCAGACGTCGCTAAAGATGTCATAGTCGGCACAGCAAGAGCAGCTACGCCAGACATATTGCGGGAATGTCCACTGCGAACACGATCGAATAGATTGCGGGCTTTCTTCAATTCGTCCTTTACCTCTATCGCATTCATGAGCCGCGAAAAAGTAAACCTGCTTCGTGTATCTCACCGTTGATAGCCTCCGTTTCAAAGGCTCTTAGCTTCATCCGTTCGTCCCTGAAGTCTTGAACAACATCTGAATCTGTGGATGTTTCGGTAGAAGAGGACTCCGTGTCGACGCTGACTTCTTTCGTACGAATAGGTTCGTTCTCTGAGACGTAGAGATTCTTTGCCTAGAGGTGTTATATTGTAAACACGCGACACTCCACCGATATGAACAACAAAAACCACCTTCAACAACACCTTCCCTTTCAAGTGCTCCGGACTTGGGAGGACTTCTACCGCCGGGCGTCCTTCCACAGGTGCGCTGACAAGGGCATCTTGGAACACGTCGCGCATGACCTCCACCATTATCTCCTGTTGCAGCACCGAACAGTGGACCTCGGCAGATATGATGACGGGGTATGGAGACGTAACGAAAGCGTACTTTGCGATTGCTTCGCACACTTCTCTTACTGGAACTTTAGAAGTAAATGTCTTGCCATGAAATATCATCGGTTCACTGTCGCCATCGTAGACGTCAACTGTAGATAAAATGAGTCAAAGGAACCTCAGAAAAGATTGCTAACTCACTCTCGACACTACGACAGCTGTGCAGGAGAGCCCGAATGTAACCCTCGATTGTACTAGAACCAACGAGTTGGTGACCGATAAGATATGTATTGTGCGAGGAAGAGATAAGATACTCCGAAAGTGGACGCGTCATATCATGACATACTTTACCTTGCCGCTCTATGAAAGCTGAATTGTCCGAAGACAAAAGAAATGAGGTAAAACCATCAAGTGACATGACCAGTCTGGGAAACTCAGAAGATGCGGAAAGTTTGTGAGTCATGTAGGCCACTGATATATCGATGGGTGCTGTGAGGGACTGTGAGGACACAGTATCGGACGGGGGAGAAGTAGACAATGGAGGAGAAAGTAATCTTGTGGGTGGAGATGCGAGCTGTTTAGGCGAAGTTCGAGAGTGTGGTGCGCTGGTATCTGATGAACCATCCGGTTTCTTAGCGTAATGCGCGAACAGTTCTAAGAGTTCAGGGCGGGATAACGTAGACTAAACGATATTCAGCTTCGCAAAGATGAATCGAAACAAAGAACATACCTTCTGGGTATTACGCATGAAATGCTCAAAGACGGTAAAATCAAATTGTCCATCGTTGCTGTAGCATAGCTTCTTATACAATAGGGTGATATCTGGGCGCGCCTTGAGCAGTTTGACGAAGCGCTGAAACTCAGAGAAGTCAAGGAAACCCTGGCATTTAGTGTCTGCTTGCTGCGTAGTTGTGAGTTTTTTGTGCGAGAAAAATGATTTTTCCCCACCATGAATAGTCGTTTTAGCTCCTCTGTCGAAGTATTGACATTTAGGCGTCTGCAGAGCTTCTCCACTTCATCAAAGCGCAACTTCTGATCGCTCGACTCATCCGATGCCTTCCAGTACTGCTTTTCCCAGATCGCACGTCTGATCTCTTCATTCCCAAGACCTGTCATAAGTTCTTGACGTATTGCGTAAAGTTTCCTCAGTGTGATATCCCACATGCGGAATACATCCTTGGTTGAAGAGATCAAATGGAGGGTTTTATAAGCGCCATTGAGAATGTAGATGATGGTAATCCATCTGTCTTCATAATCCTGCGCAAGTTGGAATTGTTGGCGATAATAACGGGCGTCAGATGAGAAACGAAGCTCTTTGATATTCTCGATAGGGACTGCAATGATTCAGTATATCAATAGCCCAGAGAAGAGTCGCTACGCACTGATCCGCAGTTTCTTGGACTCCCATATGATCTGACCTTGATCAGGATCGAGTTTAAATATGTAACTTTTCTGCTTTCCAGGAGATATTTTCGTCATCTGTACTCCTTCTCTTAGTAGTAGAGGAACAGTTCCGTCGGCCATGGGTGACTTTTCAGCAATGCGTTGTGCGGGTGGTGCGATATCAGAATTCGTTGTACCTGGTAAATTGGGCACAACAAGCGTCGGTTGTGAGACTGCTCTAGACGTAGTCCTCATACTACTCATTGAGTCGGAAAGAGGAGGACATTGATCATCCTTCCTATTACGGCGAGCATCTTGACTCCTCGATCGAATAGACTTGACAATTGGAGCCGTTTTCGCCTTGAGAAAATTTATCATAGAATCTCTTAACCTCCCGTTCCCATCATCCAAGTTCGTGTGTAAGGCCATTCCCTTGTCTGGTGCGACAATTTGCAGTGCTTCCTGCGCAGCTAGCGTGGGTATACCAGTACTTGTCAACAAGCCTTTGGCACGTTGCAGAATGTGTTCCGGAGTTGTTATCTGCTTCTCTATAGCAGGTCTGAATCTATTGGGATCGCCCATCGTCGTCCGAAATCAGAGAAGTTCGCTTTGACGAAAATGTGGAACCCACGGTTGTTGCGCATGTGTGATATTTCTAGCAGAACTGTGATGAAAATCAATTGGCGCTCGAACCCGACGGGACTGCGCACTACCTATTGATGGTTTAAATCACTGTTGGTCTGCCCATTGAAAGTTCGTGTTCAAGAAAGTCACAACACTTACAAGTTACTCCTTGTTTTGGAACTGGATGCCGGTGACTTTCGGATCACGCGTTATTAACATCCAACACTCAGAATTCAACGTTGTCAACCGCAATCACTATATATGCATGCACAACGATGAAAGCAATGCTATAATAAACTTTAGAGCAATATCAGAAAAAGTTAATTTTGGTCACGGAACATTGATAATGTAACGTGATTATAACCCATGAGCGCCTCGGAAGCGAACCCCCAAAAATCTTGCAAGCGAGGCTGAATTGACGCTCAAAGCATTGAAGTCAGAATTGGATGCACTTCAGCCGATAGATTTCGTTGTAGAACGAAGGATCGACCACCTGCAAATTGAGATGTGCTGGCAGCACGAGGAAGGTAGATGTATATATATACACAAATCTATGTTTAGATACACGAGTTATAATTATGGTCCCAAGGTTGAATATGTACGAGTCTGTTGTGAGGAAGTATGGGGTATCATAAGAAGACACTTTATGACAAAGTAAAAGTTACAGTAAGAAACAAAATACCTAGGGCTACAAGTGCATGAGTGTTAGGTGTTAGAAGACGCGTGCGGCAACAACCAATGAATCAAGTCCACGACTCCGCTTAACGAAAGTCGACAATAACCTCAGCCAGCCATACGTCATCATAGACGTTCCAAAGCGCGGAAAGTATGAGGCGATTAAAATTAATTCCACCATTTCCAAAGCGCCAACTGGCGCCGTGCTGTGCAGGGGGGTGACCTTGCAGTTCCTGCGGAAATATTGTGAGTGTGAACATGACGGAAACTAGAGAAAAGGCAAACCTCGATGAAGCGCGCGAATGCACGTGCAACTTGCACAGCGAGTTGCGTGCGGGTGAGAGGACCAGCTGGAGTATGAATATCAACGGGGTAAGTGCGATCGAGATGCTCATATCCTGGCCACTAAAGTGAAGATGGAGATGAGACAACGGAAATAATGCACGACATGAGTTAATTTACCAAGATCTTGAGATTGACTCTGCGAAAGCCAAAAGATCCGCTCATTTGAACACCGACGCCGTCATTCGCACCGACGAGCATACGTTCCAGTGCGCCTCCTGAACGAGCGAGCAGCTCACACATAGGAATGCCAAGACCAGGCGAGGGGGCCCCATAAAGGTCAAATGTGACGGCAGGGCAAGGAGGGGAACGACGAGATGTCGGCGCCTTCGATAATGGCGCCTGAGGCAGGCGTCGGTGGGTGTGCGGCATAGTTTGAGCGAAGGGAGGTTGATACGCGGAGCAGGCACCAGCAAGGGCGGTATATGATGAGTGAACGCTGCTGGGAACAGGGGGATGAAGAGGGTTCATGTAAGACATCGTAGAAAAGTGATGCGTATGCAGGAAGAGAGATTATCGGGATGAGTACTTGGTGACGATAGGACATGTAGAACTAACCTTCAATTTATACCATCGTATGTCAAAGAGCGAAAAAAACACATATGGGTGGCTCGAGCCAAAACCATCAAAGGTATGTAGTCAAAGCGATTGCTGTAGGAAGTTGCCTTACGAGTGCGTCTCTTTTGTGCGGCATTTTGTCCGTGAACTCTTTGATTTATGCTTTGATGTGAGTTCTTTCATAAATGTCTGCTTTGAAGACAGCGAGGCCCTCCTATGGCTTCGAACATGCACAGTATGTGACGTGAGAAGGATAAGTCGACACGAGGCAGTCTCCGACTTGTCTTCCGAGGGTCTTCTGTGAATTCCCACAGTAGTTACTATGATACTTACACCCTCGGTAAAATCACAATCACGAGTGTAGACAACTCGATGACAAGTACGTGCAGGCGTTGCAATGGATACTAATCAATATTTGCTATGAAAATTTAAGTAGTACAACCACAGACTTCAACCGATACAATCATTCAGCAGCCTTCTTTTTCTTCTCTTCAACGATCACAACATTGTCCGCAGGCACACCCTTCAATGGACCAGCTCCGCCTTCAATAAGTTCCATAACATCGTCTGATACATCTCCCTGCACCACGATCTCATCCTGTCCCTGAGCATTCTTGGTGACAGATGCCCCAGTAGCAAACTTCTGAGCAAGAAATTTAGCAGCTTTCTTCAAGTCAATGTCTAGATGCAATTTATTTCATTAAATGAGTTGCCTACAAAACGATAAGCGTACCAAATGCCTCAAGGCCATGGATAGCTGTAACATGTTTCCGCTTGTTACGCTCGATGCGTTTAATTGACACTTGCGACGCCTGCCAGTGGATGGATCTTAGTGATGAATGTGCGATCCAAGCGACTCGAGGACGTACCATCTTTTTCTTAAGCGCAGCATCCGCTTTTGCCTCAGCCTTTGCTTCCTTTTTTGCACTATCCTTCTCGAGCTTTGCCTGCGCCTCCAAGCTGAGAGTACCAATCTTTGACTGGAGAGCCTCTTCAAGATCATCGTGATTAGTAGAAACTAGTTCTGAGATGCAATGCTTACCATCTGAGTAGTATTTATCAAAAAGCTGAGCGTGTGCTCCTTGGAGCCATTCCTTGCATCTGGTCAAGCTAGAGCCAAATTCACAGTATTCGGGAGGAAATGTACAGACTAAGAAATTGACGTACATCAGTAATACGGGTCAAATAATGAAAATCGTGTTTACTTTGACAGTACAGGATCTCTAACGGACGAACAGCCTGGGGCTCTTGTTGGTCTGAGGACATGATATCGGTAGATAGTACGTGACTTATAGGCTCATCACGATTTAGGCAGTTTCGGCATGGCGGTCAAACGGAAAAATTGGTCAACCGTTGACCGGTTTTCAAACTCCGAAAGCCCAAACTAATAGTGTCCAGTCTTCGCCATACTATCAACTACGCCGTGCAGTTTGTGGCACTGTTAGTATACAGCTTTTCAGCTCTCAAGAAATTTCTTAGTGACTTCTTCCTGAAGATTCTACCTTATCGAAACGTTTGGAACATCTGTTTAGGTAAAATTCATTTCCTGGGCGCTAAATGTGAGTGACCGCTTCAAGTCAACAGTGTTCCTGACAGACACAAAGCTGGTCTCTCCGGACACACGTCATCGGGTGGAGGTGGAGCTTTGTCACAGGTAGCTCATACAGTGGTCCCATTTGCTCATCAGGATCTGCTGGTGAATCTAGGGTGGATGACAGGGTTGCGCTCAGACGCATCTAAACACTGACAAGGTCTAGTCCCCTCAATTTGATTTCGTCGATAGGGACAAGGACCCTCTGTTGTCTCCAGATTGCCTCATAGCCAATAGCGCCCATAGCCGATAGATCGAGTGCGTACTAAGATTGAACAGGCCCGCATAATTCTTGCAGATGACGTCGGCGCCGTGCACGATGTACCCACCCAACGCGCCCCCACAAACACGGGCGCTCCGTTTAATCGCGACGAGTCATAGAATCCAGTTCGCAGGCTGGGGTTTTAGAGCGGGTGTGGCCACGTGCAAGTGTTCCTCTTTGCCTTCTTCGGCATCCAGTATCTTCAAAGGCCAGCGCACGTGAAGAAGCTGAAGCTGGGCAGCAATGCACCGCCATACCACGGCAAGAGTAGTTGGAAAGGAGCTCATAAACCTGCTACCTTCCGTCATTATGATGTAATGGTGTATCACTGTGGATATTCCGGGATTGCAACCGCGTTGAATTCCGGATATCGGTAAACACCAAGTGACCAGTCTTTTCGGGAGCATGTGAGTCGAGACGGTCACAATATCTAACCAAAGAACAGGAAGATGGGAAACTGAGAAATGTTAACAAGCACCCCGTTCTCTGCCGCGGTTTGTTCTGCTTGAAATCAAATTTTTCGTTTGCGTTTGAAGACGTCAGCTCTGGTCCAAGGATTTTGAAGATGGAAAATCATACGTGCGTGTTCTAAATGTTGATGTATACCAATTTGTACTGTTACCTCTTCAAAGCTTCAACGATCGTCGTGCGGATAAGGGAATTTCATCATACTTCGAGTTTTTGAGACGAATAGATCATGATTTATGGGAGGCTGTCTATTCTTTTTTCTTTTTTTTGACTCAGGATACCAAAGGTCTTGCTGACAAAGATACATCGTCAATATAACAGGTACAACGCTTTGTTTGATCCAGACCTATGACCAACCCTCAGGCGACCCAGGAGGGTTATTTGTCTCAGTGCCACCGGTGAGCTGCAAACTTGGAGTAACCGTGACCTCTCTCGGTTTCACAGCCCACGGTGCGACAACAACAGTGCTATAGGAAGTTGAAAATGTGCAAACTGATAACCTCGAGGTCAGATCGGACTGGTCAGTTTCGTTCAGTATACCTAGTTCACGTCCGGGTCATGGAGGTGAAACATACGCATGTCGATTGTACAGGGACTAATAGTACTAAGTCATATTTGATTATTCAACCTGGATGACTGGAGCACATCCCAGCATTAACGACGTCCTGCAGATGGGGCAGCCCTTGAGGACCCTTCTTCGAACCTCAGAGTTCTTGGTCTCTTCGATCACCAATATATTCTGTGTCGCTCCGTAGGACAGGGAATGATACACCTAGCATTTGAATGCAGGATGCTTTGTCGAGTCTCAGATATACAATCATCAACTTGCCTGCGCGCGCTCGAACAATAGATTCACCTGCATGACAGTCCTTGGGACTCAGATCCGGAGGAAGAGTTCAAGATCCCATTGCATAGTTGCAACCTGTAGCACATGTACACCTACACTTGATCATTGGATCTGACCCGTCCTTGACAACTGGTATTGCTGTCCTTCAGGACTTGAATAAGACATGATGGCAATAAAGACCCTAGGAACGCTTCAGTGATCCAAAGCCACGTGTTTCACGAAGTCCCCGATTCTGAAATCCTATGTCAAGCCTACGTGTACTCATTTGCAGTGAATCAGATTGCCACAAGCACTAAGCGACAAATTAAACTTCCAAAATACATCACACACTGGAGTACGCCTGGCTAATTCCTCTTTTTATTTGAAGAAAATCGATTTATGGTACGACTGCATAATACTCTCGCTTATGCGACACTGGTGTGAGATATCGACACTGCGATTTGAATTCAGAGATGCGTTAGAATAGAGACATTTCCAAGTGAGTTATCTACACAGCAGGATTTTGGACTAAATGTACGTCAGGGGGAGGCTACAATATACAAGAGCACAACTCACCATGGAGTCGAAGCCGAAAATAATGTTGGTCCTCAACCGATGTGGACGCCATACTAGGATGGGTGTGGTCTTCAAGCAAGAGCGTTTTATTATGTAATAATTCAAATAATCATAAATCAAAATTCGTTCGTTAATCAAATCTTAGATCATAAATCTTTGAACTCCGAACATAATCTTTGCAAGAAATTGATTTCGCATCGTGCACATCATTCACGATGCCTCCCTCAGCGTCAAAGCAGAAGAGACTCGCAGAAAAGGCCGCAAAGCAATCTGCAAAGCAAAATGGCACAACTTCGACATCTACACCAAATGACTCTATGCCAGGCAGCATGTCCCATACCCCACTCACCAGCATTTCTGCCGCCAACAGCACAGATGACCTGACATCCATGGCCAAGCTCCAGATCGCCACCGATAGGTGTGTATCATATCCATTATGATAGAGGATTCTGATCTGGCTATAGGAGTGCAGCGGGAGTGCTTGTGTCAGACGTGAAAGGCAGAGATATTAAAATCGATTCCTATACGTTATCATTCCATGGTCGTCTGCTCATCGAGGGTGCAGAAATTTCCCTCAACTATGGACAACGCTATGGTCTATTGGGTGAGAATGGGTCTGGAAAGGTATAGTTTCATATTCCCTGTGTTTTACGATCTTACACATTTCTTCTAGTCTACATTCCTCCAATCCATCGCAGAGCGTGACATTGAAATTCCGCCACACATTGACATCTACCTCGTCAGTGGTGAGGCAGAACCATCCGATGTCAATGCCGTTGACTTTATCGTGGCCTCCGCTCGTGAAAAGGTCGCTAAACTCGAAAAGCGCATCGAAGATCTTAGCATCGCAGATGATGTTGATGACGCTGCACTGGAGGCCGCGTACGAGGAACTCGAGGAGATGGATCCAAATACGTTTGAGACCAAGGCTGGCAGTATCCTCCACGGTCTTGGCTTCAGCCAGGCTATGATGGCCCGTCCTACAAAAGATATGAGTGGTGGTTGGCGTATGCGCGTTGCCCTTGCGCGTGCACTCTTTGTTAAGCCACATCTGCTCCTTCTTGATGAGCCGACGAACCACTTGGATCTCGGCGCCGTCGTCTGGCTTGAAGCATATTTATCAACATACAACCACATTCTCGTTATCACCTCGCATTCGCAAGATTTCATGGACTCGGTCTGTACTAACATCATGGATTTGACGATGAAGAAGAAACTCGTTTACTACACCGGTAACTACACCACCTACGTACGCACTAAGCAGGAGAACGAGGTGAATCAGATGAAGGCATACAACAAGCAGCAAGAAGAAATAGCCCACATCAAAAAGTACGTCTATCTTTTCCTCACAGCTCACCATTAACTGGACGCTATCAGGTTCATCGCTTCCGCTGGTACTTATGCCAACCTCGTCAAGCAGGCTAAGTCGAAACAAAAAATTATCGACAAGATGGAGGCGGCGGGACTCATCGAAAAAGTCGAGACACCTCGGCCGCTGCGCTTCCACTTCGAGGATATTCGCAAACTCCCTCCTCCCATCATTGCATTTGACGAAGTCGCCTTCTCCTACTCGGGCAAGCCTGAAGATTATCTGTATAAAAAATTATCATTCGGTATAGAGTGTGTCTTTTCTTTCCATCTTAAGTCTTGTCTAGCTCACTCGTATGTAGTATGGACTCTCGTGTAGCCATCCTCGGTGCGAACGGTGCTGGAAAATCGACACTCCTTAACCTCGTCACTGGTGTCCTACAACCTTCTCAAGGCACTGTTTCCAAGCATGCTGCGCTCAAACTTGCCAAGTACAGCCAACACAGCGCGGACCAGCTACCATATGACAAAAGTCCGATCGAGTACTTCCAATCGCTCTTCCACGATAAGTACCCCGAGAAGGACGCTATGGCGTGGAGGCAGCAGCTCGGCCGTTTTGGCTTGAGCGGTGCGCACCAAACGAGCGTCATCAGCAATTTGTCGGACGGTTTGAGAAACCGGTAAGCAGTCCGATATGAATGGTGATGTCAGACTCACAGACATTCAGAGTGGTATTCGCGCAGCTCGCGATGGAACATCCTCATATCCTACTTCTTGGTTTGTTCTTTTGTCACTCGCTTCCTGACAATCCGCTGATCAGCGACGAGACAGATGAGCCGACGAACCATTTAGATATGGCTTCCATCGATGCACTTGCGCTTGCAATCAAGGACTTTGAAGGTGGCGTGGTAATCGTATCACACGACTTCCGTTTGATCAGTCAAGTTGCTGAGGAGCTTTGGGAAGTCGCTGATAAGACCATTCGCAATTTAACAAAGGAGGATATTAGCATCGTCGACTATAAGAAGAACCTTGTGAAGCACAGTATGGTTTCGCCCCCCGTTTTCTGATCATGTGCTAATTCTCATGCAGGTGAGGCGCAATTGGAAAAGGCCAAGCTCATCAGCAAGACTACCTCTAAAGGGAAGACATAGCGAGTGCCCTAGTGGTCCGGTTTCATGTGTACATTGAAGTATATGTACACACCATACATTATGCCCCTTACATGGGCCACACACATGTTTTGTCATTGTAGACGCGCCTTTCTCATTCGATTGTTGCACAACTAGCTGGATCTTACATATATGTGTTTCTCCTGTTCAAGGCCACGTTTTCGCTTATAGATGGTTTGTTGACGATCGTCCCTACTGAAGTGGGCCCTAAGCTAGGAGGAAAATTCACGTTTAATGTAGCCAGTATTTGCGATGATCAGATTGTTGAGAATTCTGCTCCGAAGCCAGGTATAAGTGTAGGGGACTTCATGTAGCGGCTGTGCAGCAGCGCCCAGGCTACACTCTGGCGCCCTGTCTGCAGCCTGCCGCCTTTTGAATTTTCTTTTCCCCACCCACCACTCCCTTTCCTTCGCAGCCTACATTATAATTTTCACTATACATAATCACATTCATACTACTGGGTTCGGATGGCAGGCGCCCGAACCTGCTGGGTCTGAGGCTGTGAAGTTGCCTACCCGCCCTGAAAAATCTGTCACTCAGTTAAAATGACGTTCGCTCAGAAGTACTATAGCAGACTCGAATCCAATGTTACGTATATAATAGACAATAGATTAATTGTTCACTGCATATCGTACTCGACGAAGTGTCTCAGGCATCTCCGCAAATCAAAAAATCGTATTCAAGATCTGCAATGACCGAATTGATTAGCTCCAAGTAATAGAAACAAATACTGGAGACTCACTCCTTGCAGCAGCGCTGCCAGCGTGTCCCATGTGCCATCTGACTCAAATCAAGCTCAACACCACCTCTAGGTACCACTAATGCAGTCCGGGAATTATAAAACGGTTCTCGAGAACCAGGTGGTACCCAGAATAAGAGCTGTTCATTGGGTCCCAATACCCATCCATCGTCTCCCAGCACAAATGTGTGGTCGTCAAGGGGGGTGCGTGCGAGTAGCTCAGCAGTGTCGCAGAGTGCATGAGTCAAGTCGGATGAGAAACAAATGAAGGCATCGTTCGCAGCGTTGAATGTGGGGATGGCCGCTATTGAATGTGGGATGTAACTGCTGTGCGGGGAGGATGATGAACGGTCTTCTTCGCCGTGGTTCTGCAATGACTTCCTAATCGTCGCATACCAGAGTCGGACGGTCCCATCGAATGAACAAGAAATGATGCGAGTACCATCCGGCGAGAACGACACAGATGTGACCGAAGACGTGTGCCCCCGCAATGGCTGCCCAATTGGCTGTCCCGCCACTGCAACCCACAGCCGGACGGTCATATCGATCGAACCAGAAACGATGCGAGTTCCATCTGGTGAGAATGATACCGAATAGACCCAATCAGTGTGCCCCTTCAAGGGCTCACCAACTGGCTGCTGCGTTCCTGCATCCCACAGCCGGACAGTCCCATCACGCGAACCAGAAACGATGCGAGTCCCGTCCGGAGAGAACGAGACTGAGTTGACTGAATAAGTATGCCCCCGAAAGGGCTCACCAATTGGCTGCATCGTTCCTGCATCCCACAGCCGGATCGTCCCATCACGTGAACCAGAAACGATGCGAGACGCATCCAGAGAGAACGAGACTGAGTTGACTGAAGAAGTGTGGCCCCGCAAGGGCTCACCAATTGGCTCCCCAGTTCCTGCATCCCACAGTCGCACGGTTTCATCATCCGAACCTGTCACGATGCGACTTCCGTCCGGCGAGAACGACACTGACCTGACCAAATGAGTGTGCCCCTCCAAGGGCTCACAGAAAGGTTTTCCCGTCGCTACATCCCACACCCGGATAGTCTTATCTGCAGAAGCAGTTGCGATGCGAGTCCCATCAGGAGAGAACGAGACTGAGAGAACCCAATCAGTGTGCCCCAGCAAGGGCTCACCGACTGGCTGACCTGTTACTGCATCCAACAGCCGGACAATTCCATCCTTCGAACCAGTCGCGAAGCAGGTCCCATCCGGCGATAGCGAGACTGAAGTGATGGAAGTGGTGCACCCTTGCAAGGGCTGACGAATTGATCCTGTAGCTGCATCCCAGAGTCGGACAGTGGTATCCGTAGAACCAGTTGCGATGCGAGTCCCATCCGGAGAGAATGAGACTGACATAACCCAATAAGCGTGCCCCAGTAAGGGCCTACCTATTGGCTGCCCCGTTGCTATATCCCACAGCCGAACAGTTCCATCATCTGAACCTGACACGATGCGACTTCCGTCCGGCGAGAACGAAACTGATCTCACCCAATCAGTGTGACCCTCCAAGGGAGCACAGACAGGTTTTCCTGTCGCTGCATCCCACAGTCGGACAGTCATATCTGCAGAACTAGTTGCTATACGAGTCCCATCCGGAGAGAACGAGACTGATTGGACTGGAGAAGTGTGCCCCTTGAAGGGCTTACCGGCCGGCTGCCCTGTTGCAGCATCCCACAGCCGGACAGTCTTGTCGTGTGAACCAGAAACGATGCGAGCCCCGTCCCGCGAGAACGACACTGAGTTGACCCTACCAGCGTGCCCCCGTAAGGGTTCGCCAACTGGCTGCCGCGTTGCTGGATCCCACAGTTGAATGGTGTGATCTCCCGAACCTGTCACGATGCGAGTTCCGTTTGGCGAGAACGCGACTGAGTAAACCGACCGAGTATGTTGCAATAAGGGTTCACCGATGGGCTGACAGGTTGCTACATCCCACAACCGCATTGTGTGATCGTCCGAGCCAGATGCAATGCGTGTCCCGTCCGGCGAGAATGAAACCGAGCGAACTGAGTCAGTGTGCCCCAGCAAGGGCTCACCTACTGGCTGCCCTGTTGCTGCATCCCACAACCGCACAGTGCGATCATCCGATCCAGTCGCAATGCGAGTCCCATCCGGCGAGAATGAGACTGATCTAATCCAATCAGTGTGTCCGCTGATCACTGTCTGGACAGTCGTCCAGTTGATATCACGTTGAGATGCCAGATGAAGAGTGTTGGGAAACCGCGCAGAAAATATTCTGGATAGCGCAGAGTTGACAGGCGAGAACGGCAGTGCTGATACGTAGAGATGAGGTGTGCTGTACAAGATGATGCTACCGAAGATTTGAATAAATCTCTGCACGTCCGTTGCAGCGGACGAGGCATCTTCGTAGCCGGTCTGACCCTGTAATTGTGATTCCGCCTTGGTAAGCATTTTATGTGACGTTCAGTAACCATGTGCTCACCTTCAACCACTTGGCAATAAGCGGAAGGGCGGGGACTGCGCTGCTTAGCGTGTTGATAAGGCAGAGCACCTCCAGCCAGAAGAACAGTCGTTCGTGGTCGAAAAATGATTTTATTTCTGTGGCGAGGTCTGGATCGAAGTCAGTGGCTTGTACGTGGACAGGCCAGAATTGGCAGGCATAGGATAGATGTCGGGGGATGCATTTCTCAACTCGTTCTTGCAGGCCGGGATCTTCGGAGTTGGAGAGATATGAAGATTTTAGATCGCAGATATTGAATGAAAGTTCATGTTCCATCACTCGAAGAGATGCGAAAGCAAGGTCTCGTTGTGCCTTCGACACGTCGACGAAGAAATCTCCGCTGCATTCACGGTCTGTGAGGAAATCGCGGAAGGAGGCATGAAGGGGTCGGATGGGTGTGGATGAGTCGGTGGTGCCGCTGAGCAGGGATCCCATATGTTCGACCATGACTTGGACTTTATAACGTTCGCTGTTGTCTGGAAAATGGCTCCGCATAACATTCAGGGAATTCAAAGAGAGGGGTTCAGCTGCGCTAAGGATCTGTCCCATCACGGAGCGAAATCTTGCTAGTTGTTTGTGCTGAGACGTGGAAAGTGGAGATTTGTCTATTCGCATGATCTCTGTCAAGATGAACTGATACATGTCATACAACAAGTTTTCCCCCTCAGCGGCATTGCGGGACATCACAGCATCGAAGGACTCCATTGGGGATAAGCCAGGAGGGGGTGCTTTGATGGATTTGCAGGCGAGACGTGCCCATTCAAACAAGCCATCAGCTTTCTTAGCAAGCGCTCCGAACTGTGTGCCCTCAAAATCTGAAAGTCCTTGCAGCTCGTTTGATATGTAAGCGTTGATATCGCGCTCGGCAGTGACTGACGAAATGTTGTCCATGGACATCCGTCGAATATGCTGAGCACCTGCAAACGCTGCTTCTATATCTTGGAGCGGACGAGAAGTGACAATGATCCGGAAGTTTTGGGGGAGTTTCGTGATGTGAGTGATGGTTGGGTCTCGAAGTTTACCGGCAAGAATGCGCAGAACGTCGCTGCGTGTCTCCGCTGCCTTGCCACTTTCGTCCAGTGCGTCGATGATGATCACGACAGGCCCCACGGGCGACTCAGAAAGCTTCCCTAGCGGCTCCATAAGGAGTTTCTGCCACTGCTGTACGACATCCGCCGTGGTCTTGAGCGCATTTGCGTTCCGGACTGCATCCACTAATGCTCGTCTCATCTCCGGGTGACGGTCAGCCAGGTCGCGCGCGATGGTGGAGAAAACCTTTTTATGGCGATCTTCTGTGTTTCGGTCGAAGCAGTAACAAGAACCGAGGCCGCCCACCCCGATGAACGAGCTAGCTATCGTGTGAGCGATGGCTGATTTACCCGTTCCGGCAGGGCCGGATAGCCACAGGACGCGTGGAACGTCGTCTACACTGTCGTTGATCCATCCCATGATGTCGGAGAGAATGTCCGTGCGTGTCCCTGGCAAGCATCGCTTCCTGGTATCTAGTCCTGCGGCCTCCGCATAGGCCATACCACTGAGGCCCAGTATCTCGCCTGTAGAAGTATGAATGATCGTCGAGTCAGAAGCATGTCTGAACCCTTACCTGTACGGTGTATGTAGATGGCTACGTCGCGAGCAACTTGGTCCCGGAAATTTTGCATGAGCGCATCCAACACGCTGTTATAGCGTTGTATCGTATCGTCTGTTTCCGAGACGACGTTCTTTCCAAGTCTCTTCCCTATGATAAGTTTGAAAATCTGCGAAGTGTAGCAACTTCTTGGAGAGACTCACAAAAGTTTTTCTTCTCCGAGTAATCCCTGATGAAATGGGCACATTCAAGGGTCTGCTGAGAGATCTGTCCCAAGATGGTGCTCATCGACGAAATCTGATGAAGCGTGTCGTCTTGGGTGATGAAGCTATACACTTGACCCAACTTTCTGTAGAGGTCGAGTATCGCTTCGTCGCGATCCGCTTGAGCAATGATTATCTGCGTGTGGGACAACTGAGCAGGAAATTTGAACAAGAGCAAAGAAAAACGTACTTTCGATGCGCAAGATAGCACACCCAGTGCCATCTTTGCATACGGATGTACCTGCAGGACGGTATAGTCCAGTTGTGATGAGGAGGAGAGATCATACATTCGCAAGCTCCCCGATCAGAGTGTCGAATATCCTGAGGGGTTGAAGATATGTGACTTCCATATTGCCCATATTATCGAGAGCCGCTGGTGCATTTTGGCCTGCAGACACTATGGATCCCGCAGGTCCCCAGAGTGCATTCATCTGATCTGCACCATCACGAGCATCCTGAAGTGCTGTGGTCACTAATTGGGGATCGGTACCTCGTTTCACACCAGCAGAAGCATCTTGAACGGTGGCAGGCTGAACCTGTGTGGCCAGCAGAAGTTTGACAGAGAGTAGAAACTGGAATGTCACCTACTTCAAGTTCAATATTCGGAATCAATGAACCTTCGTGATCGACGTTTGGGGGAACAGGGTCGCGGCTGTGTGAATCCTTCAGGTTCGAGCGCTTGCGTATGATATCAGCCTGATCTCAATACACTCAACATTGATACCGACTCACAGAAATCTTTGTGATTACACCGTTCGTAACCTTGCCCAGAAACCGACAAACTTTGCCACGGGGTCGGCCCTAGACATCAGAGAAAAGATGCATTAACAAGAGTCAGCGCCTCAACTTCATGGACATCAGCCACCTACCGAGCGCTCAACAGTGTTTGTTTCATCGAAAGTCTGGATGACTGGAGGAAAAAGTGACCTCGAGTCCCCTGATCGATTTTCATCGTTCCCGGTCATGGCTAATAGTTGAGGATGAGGATTAGTCTGACCGGAGTAGAGTGCGACGAAAAGTTGGAGAAAGGGTTGGTCCAAGCCATTTATGTAAATACACAACAGGCAGCATTTACTGCTGTATTGGCTTCAGGCACTGAGCATTGGGTGGGCGCTACGGAACTCCCACGAAGCGTATGGCGCTGGATCAGTTCAAAAAATTACACACACTGCATACGCCGAACACACACATGTCAACACATTCAGTACTAGTATAGGTTGAGTATAGGCGCATTTTCAAGTTAACTGTGTTGTTCTAACTAAGGCGTCTTGAATCATTAGGCCGCTGCAGCCCTAGCAAACATCTCACTAGACTCGCCAACCAAGCCGTCAGATGACCATCATTCCATTGTTCCTCGAAAATATCACCCGGTTACATTTCAAACACGCTGTTCGCTCAAAAGTACTGCTACAAACTCAAATGCAATCACGATGCTACATATATAATAGACGATGGAGTAACTGTACACTACGTATCGTACTCGACGAAATGATTTAGGAATCTCCCAAAATCAAATTTCCAGAACAACTTCAAGTTGATCATCGTGATCAAGAGCTATAAGGATCGCATTATTTAATTGCGAGCAACAGAACACACTGGAAACTCACTCCTTGCGGCAGTGCTGCCCATAGGCCATGTGTCTCAGATCAAGCTCAACACCTCTGGGCATCACAAATGCAGTCCAAGGATTATATCGAAATGCCTCTCGCGAAGCGGGTGGTACCTAGAATAAGAGCCGGCCAGTGTGTCCCTTCATCCATCCATCGTCTCCAAGAAGAGCAAATGTTGATCTGCGGTCATCATGGGGGGCACCCTCAAGCAGTTCAGTAGTGTCGCACAGTGCATGAGTCAAGTCGGATGAGAAACAGATGAAGTCATGGCTCGCAATGTTGGGTGTGAGGATAACTACTGTGGGATGTGGAATGCAATTGCCATACGGGGAAAACGTTGAACAGTCTTCTTCAGCATGGTCTTGTAACGACTTTTCAATCATCACATACCAAAGACGGACAGTCCCATCTACTGAACAAGAAATGATGCGAGTGCCATCTGGCGAGAACGAGACTAATGTGACCCAATCAGTGTGGCCCTCCAAGGGCTGACCAATTGGCTTCCCCGCCGCTGCGTCCCACAGGCGGATTGTTCTATCGGACGAACCAGAAACAATGCGAGTCCCATCTGATGAAAATGATACTGAGTAGACCCAACCAGCGTGCCCCTCCAACGGCTGACCAACTGCCTCCCCCATTCTTGAATCCCACAGCCGGACAGTCTTATCACCAGAACCAGAAACGATGCGAGTCCCATCCAGCGAAAACGAGACTGAAAAAACATAATCAATGTGCCCCTTCAAGGGCCCATCAATTGGCTGCCCCATTCCTGCACCCCACAGCCGGATTGTTTGATCGGCCGAACCAGAAACGATGCGAGTCTTATCCGGCGATAATGAGACTGAGTAAACTGCTGAAGTGTGGCCAAGCCAGGGCTGACCGACCGGCTGCCCCGTTCCTGCATCCCACAGCCGGATTGTTTGATCGGCCGAACCAGAAACGATGCGAGTCCTATCCGGCGAGAATGAGACTGAGTAAACTGCTGAAGTGTGGCCAAGCAAGGGCTGACCGACCAACTGCCCCGTTCCTGCATCCCACAGCCGGACGGTTTCATCACCCGAACCTGATATAATGCGACTTCCATCCGGCGAGAACGAAACTGACCTCACCCAATCAGTGTGCCCCTCTAGGGGCTCACAGACAGGCTTCCCCGTCGCCACATCCCACAACCGGACAGTCGTATCTGCAGAACCAGTTGCAATGCGAGTCCCATCCGGAGAGAACAAGACTGAGAAAACCCTTTCAGTGTGCCCCAGCAAAGGCTCCCCGACCGGCTGCCCTGTCACTGAATTTAACAGCCTGACAGTACCATCCAAATAACCAGTCGCGAAGCGAGTCCCATCCGGCGATAGCGAGACTGAGGTAATCGAATCGGCGTGCCCTTGTAAGGGCTGATAAACTGGCTGCCCTGTAGCTGCGTCCCACAGTCGGATAGTGTGATCTGCAGAACCACTCGCAATGCGAGTCCCATCCGGAGAGAATGAGATGGAGTAGATAACATTGGTGTGCCCCAGCAAGGGCTCACCGACTGGCTGCCCTGTTGCCGCATGCCACAGCCGGACAGTCCTATCCCCCGAACCTGTCACAATGCGGCTTCCGTCCGGTGAGAACGAAACTGAATGAACATGATCAGTGTGCCCCTCCAAGCGCGCACAGACAGGCTTCCTCGTCGCTACGTCCCACAGCCGAATCGTCCAATCGGCCGAACCAGATACGATACGAGTCCCATCCGGAGAGAGCGAGACTGACATAACACAATCAGTATGTCCCAGCAAGGGCTCACCAGCCGGCTGCCCTGTCGCAGCTTCCCACAGTCGGACAGTCTGATCATCTGAACCAGAAACGATGCGAGTCCCATCCCGCAAAAACAATACTGAGTTGACCCAATCAGTGTGCCCCTGTAAGGGTTCACCAACTGGCTTCCGCGTTGCTGCATCCCACAGTCGAATAGTGTTATCCCGCGCACCTGTCACGATGCGAGTTCCGGTCGGCGAGAACGCGACTGAGTAAACCGACTCAGTATGCCCCAATAAGGGTTCACCAATGGGCTAAAATGTTTGCATCCCACAACCGGACAGTGCTATCGTACGAGCCAGACGTGATGCATGTCCCATCCGGCAAAAACGGCACTGAGCTAACCCTGTGAGTATGACCCCGCATGGGCTCGCCTACTGGTTTCGCCGTCGCTGCATCCCAGAGTCGCACAGTACAATCATCCGATCCAGTCGCAATGCGAGTCCCATCCGGCGAGAACGAGACTGGTCTAACCCAATCAGTATGCCCATTGATCGCGGTCTGAACAGCCGTCCAGTTGATATCACGTGCAGACGCCACACGAAGAGAGTTGGGAAACCGTGCAGAAAACGTTTTGGATAGCGCCGAGTGGACAGACGAGAATGGCAGCGCTGATACATAGAGATGAGGTGTGCTGTGCAAGATCATGCCGCCGAAAACTTGGATAAATCGTTGCACGTCCATCGCAGCGGATGAGGTATCCTCGTAGCCGGTCTGACCCTGTAATTGTGATTCCGCCTTGGTAAGCATTTTATGTGACGCTCAATAGTTATGTGCTCACTTTTAACCACTTGGCGATAAGCGGAAGGGCGGGGACTGCGCCGCTCAGCGCATTGATAAGGCAGAGCACCTCAAGCCAAAAGAATAGTCGTTCATGGTCGAAGAATGATTTGATTTCTTTGGCGAGGTCTGCATCAAAGTCAGTGACTTGTGCGTGGACAGGCCAGAATCGGCAGGCATAAGATAGATGTGGGGGATGCATTTTTTAACTCGTTCTTGCAGACCGGGATCTTCAGAGTTGGAGAGATATGATGATTGTAGATCGAAGATATTGAACATGTTCCATCACTCGAAGAGATGCGAAAGCAAGGTCTCGTTTTGCCTTCGACACGTCGTTGAAGAAATCTCCGCCGCATTCACGGTCTGTGAGGAAATCGCGGAAGGAGGCATGAAGGGGTCGGATGGGTGTGGATGAGTCGGTGGTGCCGCTGAGGAGGGATCCCATATGTTCGACCATAACTTGCACTTCGTAGTGTTCGCTTTTGTTTGGGAAATGACGCCGCATAAGATTCAAGGACTCCAAAGAGAGGGGTTCAGATGCGCCAAGGATTTGCCCCATCACAGAACGGAACCTCGTTAATTGTTTGCGCAGAGACGTAGAATGTGGAGATTTGTCTATTCGCATGATCTCTGTCAAGATGAACTGATACATGTCATACAACAAGTTTTCCGCCTGAGCGGGATTGCGGGATACCACGGCATCGAAAGACTCTATTGGAGATAAGCCAGGAGGGGGTGTTTTGATAGATTTGCAAACGAGACGTGCCCATTCAAACAGACCATCGGCTTCTTAGCAAGAGCTGCGAACTGCGTGCCTCCAAAATCTAGAGAGTATCGCTTCTTCGCGATCCGCTTGAGCAATGATTATCTGCATGCAGGAAATTTGAACAAGAGCAAAGAAAAACGTACTTTCGATGGGCGCCAGGGAACTGCAGGAAACACAAGGAAGTCGAAGGAACGACTTAAAGATTTGTAGCAGTAGGGAAGTGACCAGTGCTTGAGGCCGAGAACTGCGCCAACTCAGCTAAGATGTGGACACAACTTATGGATATGACCATTGATAGTCAAACTACGGTCATAGTAGTATTTAAACCAACGCGGGCTGTTGAAGGTGACTGCAACAGTTGCATATACAGTTGCATAACATCATGGACCGAGTCCGAGACCCGCAGCTTGCGGCTTGAGCTTGAATTTCGAACTTGCCAGTGCAATGCCAGTGGTCCTTCAAGTGGTGCTCACACGCATTACACGCGTTGACGAAAGCCGTACTCTACTAGCGAATAGGCACTTGTTCGCTTCCATCTAGTGATCTGACGCATCATGCCGTGAACTTGGCGCTGGTAACGCACCTTTGAGTACCGACCGACCATGACGCTGACAAGTCTTCCACATGATGTTCTGTACCGTGTCCTATGCTTTCTTTCTGTACGCGAAATCATCTGCCTTCGACTGGTGAGAAATTACTGTTCATCCGAGTCGTTTGCTGATCGTATCCCTTCATATTGAATGTGTCTGTATTGATTGATATAGGTGTGCAAAGACCTTCGAGACTTGACATTCCACACGGCTATATGGCATGATGCGTATAAGCATGCAAGACTTCCTCGTCCCCTCGGACCACTCGACTCTCAGTCTCGCGAATTCTTAGAAAACACCCTCGTCAAAAGCACTCAGGTCGGCGTCAAGTGGAACAAACAAGCTCTAACGATAACTTCTAAGGCAACTTGGTTTGAGCCCGAGTGGTCGGCCTTGCAAGGAGACCATTGGGAGGTGGTGGCTGGCTTATGGCTCGTCATCCCGTATATTAGCGGCCCCGACATCCTGTGCTACGATCTGGAGCGCGGACTGCGCCACATCCTATATCATGCTGATGGCGCTCAGATACTGTCGTTTAAAAGCGCTACTTCTGAGGCAGCGGATGGAGGATGTATCATGTACGCTATCGTCATGGAAAGCGCTCGTGGAAGCGTGTCGTTCTCACAGTTAGTTTCTCCCAATTATCGCATTCACACCCTGAATGATTTGTCGATAGTAAACTGCTCTCCATCCGTTTCTCTTCTGATGGTCCTTCGCTGCAATTCTCTATGGTGATCCCTGGCGATGTGATCGGGATGGGAATGTCGCAGCTATCTGCTGGAAAACGCTTGCTTTGCATGAGCGATCATTTGACTGGTACTTTGAATTTGGCGGTGGATACTGGCACCCGCGTCCTGTACCGCTTTCCGCCACCAAGCTCTATCATTGTGCGTATGAAATAGGTGAACGTTGTACGCATCTCTCATCATGAAATATAGGACCCCACGTTCGCCGTAACTTGCACGCAAGGGACATACTTGAAGCGTCTCATTGCCACCGAAACCCACATTCTCGCAATGTTCACCCCTCTCACTATGGTCAGTCAGCTCGACGAGGGAGGAAACTGTCGTGCGATCATTCAGGCATTCGCTCTCCCGTCGACGGAAAATACTCCCGCATCCCCGCCCACTCTTCAACTCACCCACGAAGGCCATTGCTATCTCGATATCGAACGCGTTTCCCTGCTGTGCGATTCTATGACCAATGCCATCACAGGGCAAACCCAGATCAAATTCCTCACCCATTGCATGAGACTTAATCTGACCAAGTACTTTGCTCACCGGATAATTTTATCCCCTCCTCTGCCAGGGCAGACACTAGGGAACATATCTCTCTGCACCGAACAACTTTTCTCTGTTCCAGGTTATGCTAACACCATGAAGTTCACGACGTCCTTTGATGGACATGCACGCGGCATCTGCGTGCTTCATAACGAGAGGGACGGTACAGAATTCTACGGATTCACGATCGACGCTAGCGGGATAGATAAGCCCTGTTCGGGTATCGTTGGGCCAGGGGTCGATATCAAAGAGGTTGAAGCGACGGAATCGTTTCCCTCGTCTTTGAGAATGACGTGGAATGTCAAACTGGCATTTGACGGCTACTTGGGTAGAATTTGTTACAGGAAGCGGGGTCAAGCAGGAAGGAATGTACTCGCTGTAGTAGGACTTGGCGTAGAGGTATCGGACGGCTTGGATGCGTGGGGTAGAGTGATAGTGCTAATTGAATATTTAAGGTTCCGAAGGATGATTTCTTGTAATGTACTGTATGTGTCTCAAATGTGCCCTAGATTTTGCTTATTGGTAAATGCTATCTTGGCGATAGTGCGTATGGTGCAAGGAACTTGCCTGCACATGTGCCGCATCCCAGATGCAGGCAGTTCACATTGATCGTGTCGTAGTCAAATAAAGCTCTCCCAGTTCACTCAGTACGCCATCGCACCATCACATAAACAAGTGTTCATCAACGCTATCATACTCAAACCTTTCCAGCTGCAGCTGCAGCATTCTTCTTCTGCTCCTTCAGCTTCTCAATCCGCTGCAAAAGTCAACAAGCATAAGCTGCAACACCTTCAAACACAGGAAAAAAATACTCACCAACCGCCTCTCCTCCTTCCTCCTCGCCATCTCAGCCGCCTTCTCCTCCTTAGACATCCCAGCCATACTAGTCGGCGGTGTGTTGTCAGCAGTATTCGGAAGAGGTCGAGGGGATGATATTGGTGTTGATCGGGTGCTTGAAGCGGGTGAGAATGCTGGTGCGAGAGGGGAAGGTACGATTGATCTGCGGGGTTGTGGTGAGAGCGTGCGTGAGATCTGGGAGGGGTGTGATATAGGCGAGCGACCTGTAGGTCGAGATGAAGATTCCATTGCGCCCCATTCATCAGGAACTGTATCAGATAAATCAATATGAACATTATGGAGAAGGTAACGATACATACTTGGAGAACTGGACCGCAGCGATATTCCGAAGCCTAGGCCATTGGTTGCCGCGAGCTTTGATTCTGCAGCGGGTGGAGCACTCTCGAACGCACCTACAAAGAAAAATGTGCTCAGTTCGAATCTGGTGATATGATTAAGGTCAGAGGACGTACTCCAATCTCCTTCATCGGCATTAATATCGATCAAATCCTCATTCCACAAACGACTACTGCCCTGCCCTGCCTCGTTGGCGATCTCTTCAGCGAGGTGCGCAGCAAGAGTGGAAGCCGGGGCTTTATTTCCACCCAGTTGTAGGCCTTTGCTCCTTGATGTATTTGCGGAGGGAGAAGATGACACAGGTAGAGGACTGGCGCGCCCATTGATGTTTGGTGCCAATGTTGATGCGTCGATGGGACTCGAAATCGCTGTTTGCATATCAGCAGGGGCAAGCTGAGTGGTGGATATTCGTAAGCTATCAGTTTCAATAAATAAAATAAAACATGCCTTTTTGCCAAGGGACGATACAGCCCATCCTGTGAGAGCAGCTGCTGCGCCTGTTGCTGAGTTTACAAGGCCAGCCTGGGTGAATGCACCTGGGAGCCTCGCAGGTAGATCTTCCCCGCCATCTTCTGTGAAGGCTGTCTCCGGCTGTGAAAAAATGTATATAGGAAATACAAACTGATCATGCACAATAGACCTACCATAGTCGAAGCGTGAACCTCTAAACGCTTGACGAAAAGCTCGACAGCCTTGAATGCCTGATCACGAACCAACCTACAGATTTGCAGCCATCAACATACATCAAATCAGTAGATCGAGAGCTGTAACTCACTTTTCTTTATCCAACGTAGCACCTACAACAGCTGGAACGACTCTACCGGCCACATCGTCAATATCGAAACACTCCGCAGTTGCCATAAACGCCATAACACCTGCCACACGAGCGTGGACGAATGAATCCTTCAGCGCCATGCTAAATGCGGGAACGAGAACTTTTCGTTTGGTGTTATGTCCTAGCGAAGGGCCAAGCCGACCGATGAGAATACACGTGTTGGTGCGGATAGAAGCTTCTGGGTCTGATTGGAGGCGGGCGAGGTGACGGAGGAGGTCGTTGTTGAGTATACGGTCGGATAGCTTTACAAATCGTCATTAGCGACATTGGTTGCACTTTAAAGTCGACATACCTTGGGAGAAATTAGGACGATAGCGCGGACAGTAGCTTCTCGAATGACAGCAACAGTATCAGTGAAACCGGTTTGCTGCGCGGATGACGATAAAATGAGTTGCTGTGCAAGAATGGATGAAACATGAATATTATTCATACCAGGTTTGGCCAGATCTTATCTACAACTGTTTTCTTATCCAGTTTTTCCGCGAAGTCGGGGAGACTATCGAGAAGCGCAATGCGTGTGCCACGGTCGGCACTCGCAAAGAGTTTGACGAGGGGTGCAACGATGATCGAACTATAGTCATCAGGTGCGACGTTCTTTCCGAATTGGAGGACTAGAGGGACGATGGTTGCTGCCGATGCACCGCCGAACTCAAGCGCAGAGGCGAGGCATGGGAGAATGCGATAAGAGATGAATTCGGGGGGAAATGAAGATGCTGATTCCTTTAGCGTGCTAATCCAAGTCATTGAGTAGTTGATGGGGGTTTGAAGACCCACACGTACCGTAGTAAAGATGCCTTATCAGATTCACTACTCAGGGTGAATCCGTCTAGTCCAGCGCAGACCTTGACAAGTCGGTTATGTACGAAAAATCCATGTCCTTCTCCGTCCGACTCGGCCATACCAATGTCTAGTAGGGTTTTAGGTGACATTCGTGATTTCGCATTCGGGTTAAGGAGCTTTTTGAAGGAGGGAAAGACGGTCAATGGTATAGCACCTCTAGAAGAGACTTGAGGTGGTGGATGAGGAGGCTGAGCAGTTGGTGGTGGAGGGTGGGTGGGATTGAAGACAGCGTGTAGAAGTAGACCAAGAGCGTATCCGTCCGGAGCTGATACTGGTACGCTGTCCATACATTAGAACGGCGGCTGCGTGATGTTATCAGTGTCAGAAACTGAAGACTCACTCTTTGAGAGCAGACCAGCCCTCTTTCTTGACTTCCGGGGGTGCGCATGCCATCGCGTCTGGCATGAGGCCGCCCATGGTCTGTAAGAGAATGTCTATGGGGAAACGCACGAGAAATAGAAAACGACGCACATATATAACAGAAAGACCATCTTTTGGATTGCTCAACACCTCGAAACCTCCCAACTTCCACTCTCCTGAAGGAGTGATGAAGACGGCATTTGGACGAACGTTACCATGGGTTGACGAAGCCGAATCGTTGAGAAAAGCAAGAGCTACCTGACTCAGAATGTTAGTAATTAAAGCTTGAACGTAGATGGGAAGAACAATTCTAACTGAAATTCGGTGTAGTCCCCAAATCAGCCAGTCCTCTCGCTCGCGTGCAACATTGGAGGATGATTGGGATAGCGCGAGAGGTAGAGGGCGAACCCTTTCAGTCATGATGCAAATAGCTGAGTCGGATTCTACGACATCGATAAATCTCAGTACATCTGGATGTCGTATGGTGCGCAGCTTGCGGAGAGAGTTGCGGGCGAGGGGTATGGTGGACTTGTTGAGAGGGTGGGTTAGATCATACTCGAAAACCGAGACCAGGCTACCATCTTCCTGCCTTGTAGATTAGCCCGGACACGACTCGGACCCGTGATGAGAATTGAACCTACCCGTTTGGTAGCGTCGTACAAGGTCCAGAAAGTCTCGCAGGAGTAAACTTTGGCACCTAGCGAGAACGGTAGATTAAGTCCCGATTTCTGAACCAGAGTCGATACCGCAGCAGAGCCGAAGCTGCGAAGATAGTCCATAAAACCAAGCTTGAGTTATACGAAATAGTCAAGTGATGGAAAGAACGGGTCGGCTGCTACTACAACGCAGACTCACAGTACTAGTAGTAATGACTGCTACTGCCGCAAACATTCATTTTGACACGTATGATACACGAACACTCTTGTGCAAGGCCAAACGCTGCATACTTTGAATTGCTAGTGGTGCTACAAGTACTTGTACAAAGAATAATGTATGTCTGTTCTGTAATCAGTGATCCGCTTTGCAGGTTCAAGGTGGCCATAAAGGTTCGATACGCTGATACTATAGTCGAAACTGTATTGTACCCACCCTTGCTGACACGTGCACAAGGTTTCATCTTATAGCAAGTGAAGTGCGGAGTCCATTGGCAGAATGGAAGAGTCGTTATCGACTGCATTGTAGTCGTCGCTGATGTAGATAAGCAATGCCCGGTGTTTCCTGGGAAAGGGCGGGACAGAGATGCGACATGGCATCAAGAATATGTATGTCGAAGTAGACGCAGTACTATGCAGTCAAGGTTGCTTCGACGCATCAGCTTGGAGCTCGTCGAGCGGAACGCGAACAAGCCGTTCTCCGGTGAGTGTTACGGCGCCGTCACTGGGGACTTCCAAGTGCTGTTCCCGGGTGTTCACTGAAGAATAATCAGATCACAAGCTAGGATGGTCAGAACTTCACTTACAGAACAAACTCAAACTTTGGAACATGAGAGGCCACTGTTCGAGCACCTGACCATGTACTGTTAGAAAAAATTAACGATAGACGAGGATCAGGATGAGAGGAATATACCTTGACCAGCGTCAGCCATAACTTCGCAATCATCTGCAAGACCTTCGATGCGTTTGAGGAAAAGAGCGCTAGCACGTTCAAGGGCAGCAACGGCCTCAAATTCTTTCTTTTTCTCCTGCAAGCGTGCCGTTACTGAGGCATTATTGGCCTGCGATGCTAGGGATGCAGCATGTGAAATGCGACTCGGAGCAACGGATTGACGCATGGTTTCTATTTGCAAGTGAGAGCTGCGCGGTGTTCTTAGACATTTTACAAGTCCGACGGCCAGTGCCGCCTGCTAAAATTAATATCAATAGCCGTGTAAACTTATAAGACACTTTGTACATTCATTGATCCTGACAGTGCTCATGAATATGAATATTATTCTTCCATCGAGGATGAGAGACCAAGCCAGCAGCAATGGTCTTAATCAACCAAATATCCTGCATATTTAAGCACATTATGTAAATTGTGCCGTCTGACAGCAATAACGATTCTGCCAAATCCACCAGAACCCATGATGCGGAGAAGTATATGCAGGGTATAAAATGGAGAGACTTTAGGCTAAAAAAAAGTCAAGTTCTGCACGCAAGATTGAACCGAAAGCCCGAGCGGCACAGTAAGGCTTTCGCTTTGGTATCATGGTTGACGGGGCAATATCTAGTTCGCAGCTAATCACACACCGGCGTTTGCCAGTTTTTCACCATGCAAGATGTGTTTCGAAATGTTAGTGATAAAGCTGGCATTTTTACTATACGTTTCGACACATGAAAAATAAAAACATTTCAATGAGTGCCAAAATCCCGGGCAAAATTTACATTTTTTGGCTTCCTGGCCCAGGCTGCATCAATATCCTAATACTATAGTACCTTTGCACGCTGGATGCTAGTTGAGCCGAAAGCCCGAGCGGCACTTCGCCACAGTTCTAACATATATAAACACGGAACGGTTGATCCCGCGGAAGCAAATTCGCGTGACTCACATCTGAAGGATGAGAATGAGAGTCAATTTCTAAAAGATATCTGATTGTATCTGCCCAGCAGTTGTAGGATCATCAGTTGTGTGTAAGGGAGTAAGTATAAGGAGCAACGAATGAGAGACATGGTGAGATATCCGAGCGTGAGTCAAACGTATTGACGAGAATGTTGTCGTTGTGCTGGCAAGGTCACTGCAGGTTCGAATGATGATACCATGGGTGAGAGATTAGGATGAGAGACCGGAAATGAGAGCGAGCGTTCTGCGGAAGAAAATAGTTGTCGGTGTTGCCAGCCGGTTGTAACGCAATGACCGTGATCAACTGAATATGCCCCTGCAGTGTATAAAAGCTGGTCATCGTCCTACAGTATTTCCCCATCCTCGAATATATCATTCAAGAACTCCTTCGGAAGATTCTAAATCACTTGGCACAGAAAATGCATTTATCGTTCCTCGTTGCTGTTGTTGCTTTGACATCATCTATATCTGTCAGTGCTACACTGGCAGATTGTTCCAACAGTGGACACGTCTGCAAGATAGATGATGAGTGTTGTATAGGCTATTGGTGTGAATATAACGTGAGTAGTATGAGCAGGTTGCTGTGCAACCAACACATGACTCACCTGCGCGCCTTAGGATGAATGTATCAAGGTCTGCACACCGGAAGGCATTTGAGCCTAAACCCCGAGCGGCACATCGCCAGTGAGTCATGCTTCTGCTTTCGTTTTGGTATCATGGTTGACGGTGCAGTATCTAGTTCGGAGCAAATCAGTACACTTCAGGTCATACGGCGGGGGGCATCAGGAACCTGTGAACAGATGAGATCAGTATATATTCAAGTTGTTGAACAGACGTAAAACTGCCAACCAAATTTACACGGGAATGTTTTGCATTGTCGAGGAAACACACCGATTTGCAAACACACGACCTGTATAAGTCGTCAATGGGGTTCACATTGATGTTGGAGAGCAGCCCGATGGTTCTTCCGTGGCATAGTGTTTAATACTATAGTACCTTTGCACGCCGAATGGCAGTTGAGCCGAAAGCCCGAGCGGCACTTCGCCACAGTGAGCCATGCTTCTGCTTTCGCTTTGGTGTCATACTACTTGGTGCAATATCAAGTTCAGAGCTAATCAGTATACTTCAAGTTGTTTGTGGATATCTTCATGCTGCTGAGCAATATGGGAGTTTGAATTTATCTGGAATTGATCGACCGTGCCTAGTAGTCCACTAAGCTTGAATTCGGGAGGCTGTCGAAACGAGTGATCATTGCTGTTGATGATTGATATCGGGAGGTCATACAAAGATGGAACTCGCTCCAACAAAACGACAATTGTGATTCGTGACAAACGTGCTATTTTCTGGTATGCAGTCAAAACACAAGGTCATACGGCGGGTGAAAACCATGAGTGAATTCAACCTGTGAACAGATGAGATCGGTATATATTGTTGAACATCGCAATGATAACCATAAAACTACCAACTGCTCGCACATGAAAATGTTTTTCATTGACGAGGAAGCAACGACTTACAAGCACGCGGCCTGGTAGCCAAATTGAAGATCTGTCAGCTGAATGGATCTAACAAAATGCACAAGCACAGGTGCATAAAGCCAAGTATGGACCCAGCCTAAGATGGACGATGAAATCGATGAGACCGGTTAGTATCATGAGACAGTGAGCACGCAGGGTGCAACTATCCACTAATACCTTAATGCCGGGTCCGTGAAGCAGGCTAGATTCTGGTGTTCAATGGTGGAAGGACGAAGCTAGAATAGTCTATGCAATGCAAAATGTCTATACATAACGTGGTCCAATAACTTGAAAGCATATAATATTGCGTACCTCAAGATAAAACATCATTGCGATCGGGATCATACTCGAAAACCGAGACCAGGCTACCATCTTCCTGCCTTGTAGCCTAATTAGCCCTTCGGAACACGACTCGGACCCGTGATGAGAATTGAACCTACCAGCTTGAGTTATACGAAATAGTCAAGTGATGGAAAGAACGGGTCGGCTACTCCTACAACGCAGACTCACAGTACTAGTAGTAGTGACTGCTACTGACGCAAACATTCATTTTGACAGACTCGTGACCAGTCTGGACTACGCGTGTTGTTAATTATTTGATGTAGTCAGACTGGCCGATCTCTGAGAAATTTGGCAGTGACGAGCGAGGAGTTTGAAATTTGACAGATGCCGGTCATGCCGGGTTAGGTAATCGTTGTAATTGTACAGCTTTGACAACACAAGTCCTTCATTCACACCTTAAGCAAAGTATTGTATGCCTCTCAAACATCATAGCCCATTGAGTAACAGTATTAGCTATCTAATAGGACAATAAAATGATACATCTGCAGCAATTTCAGAGGGGTGACTGTGATGGCTATCTTGTTGGGAGAAAGCAGTAAATAGCACTGCCATGGTCTGGTTTAGTCCAGTTCAGTGAGGGGTGAGCAAGAACCAGAAACCGAACCTGTGTCCGGTCCAGGGCATGTTGTTGAACACAGAACCGAACTGATGAGAATGGTTCAGAATGGTTGTGTCCGGTTCTATCAGGGTTCGAATGTGAACTGGACCAAAACATAGATCATATTTGTGAAAACAAGATGTACAGTAAAATTCTACACATCTGGAAGGAGCTCTGACAGTTTAGCCAATGCAGCTGCCTCCCTTGATGCTTCTGAAACCGCTGAAACATGTCCATACTTGTATGCAGCCTTCAGGAGTTGTAGTGCAGAAAAGGTGGATGGTGCCAGTGAATTATGACAGATGGTAGATGTGATGCCCCCACTAGAGAATGCTTGCTCAGACGGAACTGTGCTCCCCTGGATGGGAAGATAATCATGTGCAATGCAAGCAAGTGTCGGATACTGCAATGATTGAATCTAACTAGCAATTAGAACTAGTTCAAAAACTGCAAACAAAAGACATACCCCCCACCACGCAATGATATCTACGACTTCTTCCAATGGTGATGTCAAATATGCAGTGAGCTCATTGCGAGGGTCGCAAGCATAGTTGGCATTGTTGTTCTGACGAGCCACAATTGCCTCACGCATCCATGTGTCTCTGTAATGGGCCTCTCAAGTTTGTGAAGCAGCAGCTGGAGTGAGACATTGGCCTTGTGATGCTGGAGGCTGATAATAGTCGTCGAACTAAATACAGACTCAGTGAAGTAAATAAGTTATGTGTCATACTACTTACCACAGCCTTGAGGCAGGCCTTTCCAGTTGTTACATCCTGAGGAGTCCATCGTTCTTTGATATAAGCAAGCTTATAGTTTGGGTTGAGAACTTGAATTATGTGAGAAACAATGTGAAGCAGAAAAGACAAGAACTCACCGAGACATTGAATTCTGTCATTGTAGAACAATAACAAGAAATATCACCGAGTTGTAATTGAACCTCGCTGTATTTAGCATTAGTAAGGCAAACAGCAGAAGTTGTCTTCACATCCAAAAAAAATACTAACAATATGAGGTTCAGAACCAATGGAGAACCATCCCAGACAACACAGACTGAGAACCATACTTCAGTTTGGTTAGGTTTGATGGTGTTGCGGTGGACTGGACTGTCAAGAACCAGACTGTTGGTTAGGTTTGAACCACGGTTCTGGACTGGACCACGGCAGCACTAGCAGTAAAGGGAGAATCATAGCAAGGGTTTTTCCAGAGCCTGTTGCAGCTTGAAGTACAATGTGTCTTGCAGAAAGTAACAATATGAGGCATCTAATCTGGAACAACTTCGGCTGTTGTGATCCTCAGGAAATAAGATTGAGTTGTGAGAAGGCCTTGAGAACTTGCTGGTGTTGTGGCATTGAAAGGGCACTTGTAAAGTCTGTTGGGAGATCTTCAATTTTATCTTGAGCAGCAAGCGATAAAGGTCGTATGGAACAATGTCATCATCAACAAAACAGCACAAAACATGTATGATCAGGTGAGAGCTTGCGACACTTACATAATTGCATATGACTAATATTGGCCAGGTATGAAATGGTGGTAGACTTGCAATAGAACACCAGACTGGCGCGAGCCTTATAATCATGTACTGGTATTGTGTTCCCTTATAAGGATGTTGGCAGCCTTATATTTATCTGGTATGGTCTGGTAGGAGGTGTGCATGTATCACACCAGTCATGTGAACTAATATGTATACAAATGAATTAAAGCTCTCCATACCCCTCAAGCTCCTCTTCATTCTCGTCTTCTCCATCTTCAGGTCCTAGGTCATTATCAGTGTTATTGTTTTTATTGTCGCTGCTGCTATCATCCTGATCGTTGTCAGCTTCTTCGTCAGTGTTCTCCTCTTCTTGATCTAGTCCACCATAACCATACTCCTCCATCTCTGATTCAAGAACTTTGTCTTCGTCCTGATCAACAATACCTTTATCAACAGCAGACTCGGACAGTCCATCTTCTTCATCTTCCTCCAGTAGGGGTTCATCATCTTCATATTCCTCAGATGCCTCAAGTTGATGACCTGCAGATGATTCCTTGTTCTCGGATGAGGCTTCAACTTGATCCTTGGATGCTTCTTCGTCTTCCTCAGATGCTCCCTCACCTTGCTCAGACTCTGTGTTAGTTCCCTGGAGCGACACAATCTAGAGGATCATGGCCATCACAAAATGTTTGTGTTGCATTACAAGTTGACCTGTGACTAACTCCCCTGCCATGGAAACACATGAACATATCTCTGTCAACAAACCTATAGTGAGAAGGTACATTAATACAGAATCACTATACTGAGTCTATGATACTCACATATTCACATAGTAAAATTTCCAATCTTCATTGCTTTCAAGAAGAGGACAGGCAATCAAAGGTGGTAAAAGTCCATCAGTATGGCCATAGGAAAATGTGGGGATTAAGTGGACACCATGAATGATTTGACAAGGATCAAGAAATCCAAATGCACTTGGTTTGTCTGCAGGTATGAATCCAAGCCAGTGAAGATGTTTCACCTTCCAGCCTGACCATCACATCAGCATGAGTTTGTGGATTGAGTGAGTCTTGAGCCCGGTGAAGGTCATATGTAGTGTAGTTGATGCGAAGTACCTTATGTCAGAAAATACGATTATTTACAAAGACAACCTGGGCTTGTTAAGTTGCACTAAACTCAGTTTCATCACTGTTATATTGATGTCTGAGGATTCTGGCAAGGAGATGATCCTTAAGTCGGAAGAAAATCCTAATAGGGCAGCTCAGATCAAAATCAAACACTATAAATGGTTGAATCACCTCCAATGCATGATTTTCTGAATGTCTCCCAAGCCACTGCTGCACATTCAAAAAATATCTCGTGCTTGATGCAATATGGTAGTGAGCTTTTGGATCAGAGTATGCCAATGGCTTGGATGCTTCAAAAGGTATGCTTGGAAGGTCCTTCGATAGATTGTTTGCAGTGTGGCATTGGTGCTTGTCAGTGACCTTTGCTTTGCCTTTCTTCAACTTTGAAGGCATCTTGTGCTCTGCCAGTCGGAATAGAATTCTCTCTCAGCATTGTTGTTTTGCAATTCCTGAACTTTGCCTTACTAACATGTGGATAAAAATGTTTCATGTGGTGGTGTTCAAGTTCACCCTGTATCAAGTATTAAAAAATGACAACAACATTTAGAGCACCTACGTACCAGTTGAGTGGAATTGTTGTCAGTGGTACCGAAATGTCTAATTGTGGAGACATAGTCCCTGAGTGCATGCAGCTTGTAGGTCATAAAGTTAAAATATTGAGCCTTAACTCCAGTGGAAGTGCCTGTTGCATTAGCTCTTGAGGATGTACTACCACCTTTTGCAGCTGCTTGGGCCTTGCGACACCCATGAGCAGCTTCCTCGCTAGGAAGGTCACGAGTCATGAATCTCTTTGCAGTCTTGAACATAAATTTCCGAAGAGATTTTCCAAGGCGTAATGTTGAGGTGTCGAGAAATCCAAGAGTGGTCTCAGTGTGCAGTTGAAGCTTTGTGAGTCCATGCCATGTTGCAAGCTCAAAGAGCAGGTCGAGTAGCATTTCATTATAGGGTGATGGAAGGAGCTGCTCGAAAACTGGCATTGCACACTAAACAAAAAGTTAGATGACAATTGGCTTCAAGTCAGTCATGGTGTACTCACCTGTAGTAAGTCCTTGAAATATCAAGCAGCAAGACATTTTATTGCTGATGCATTGCTACTGAAACACCAAATTATGCCTCGTCCAAATGTCAGGACTTGTCGATACCTGAATGGTGATGGTGAGGATTTAGCAACTCACCACATAGAACACTGTAACTATATTTCCTACCTTTCATTCAATCTTTGTATGCTCTCACCATATGCATACAGAATATGAAGGAGATGGGTGAAGACTACCTTCCAGACACCAAGTTCGAACTTGTGAAGCAAGTCTGGCACAAAGAGTGAATAAAAGTTGAAGCCAAAACACCTGAGTTGTGTTGAAAATGTGTTCTGTGTATACAGTCAGCACTCAGAAAGACACAGTGAAGTTCAAGTTGAGATAAACTCGCACCATAGAGGCAGTGAGTGAATCTGGAACAAGTACCCATTTAACGAAGATGCTTGTAATATTCCTACCCTTGATATATAACTAGTCATGGACCATCCTGATCTTGCCTTGCAAGCTGTCACTGTCCTGGCGCTGATAGCTTTTGCGTCAGCACCTGTCAGCCTTTGTACCCAGCTCCCCAATCTTGTCCTTTCGAATCAGGCAGTGGGGACAGGGACATTGACCGAGGAATTTGATGCAAGACAGAAGGGTCCTAATGCATTCATGTTAATAGACATAGAAAAGTCAGTATTTTCACGTACTTCTCTGGGTAGTCAGCTGAGTATGAAAAAAATTGAGGAAAGACTCGTCAACTAATTCCATTAAGGTACTCGATGACAATACCAAATTCATAGGTGTGCATGAAGTCATTGTCCATTATAAGAAGCCGTATGGCTTGCATCAATTCTTGATGGCAGGAGGTCAACATCTCTGCTGTAGCAGGCTTGCCAAATACATGGCGGTAAAAGTCCTGAATGGTATCGGAGAGCTGAAAAAAAACATAACAAATTAGATTATTAGATTAAGTCAAGGATCAACATTAGGCTCACCTGAGGTATATATGCTAGATGGTGTGCAGCAAAGGATGAAGGTTTTCCATGAATGTACTTGGATTGATTCCTGAGGAACAAGTATATAGGCCACAATGATGCACTCCCAAAGCTAGCGAGATGTGTTGAGTCCGACCAAAGCATAACAGCAGCAACAACAGTCTCAAGCTTGCAACTTGGATCAGGGGGATGTGATTTGATGGCCTCATGTGCTTCAAGCATAGCCTGCAAAGAGTATATTTCGGAGTATACATGCTTCATAGGTTTGTTGGGCGATGGTTGGAAGAACATTTTGAACAGGGTTAGATGGAAGTGCTCTGCAGATGCCTCGCAAAATGCAGACTTGATAACCTCAAGCAGACGATGGTAGAATAGTCCAGGGACCTCAAATTCTGGTGCTGATGTTTCCAATGTGTGCTGGACACCATCAGCTGGTAGTTGAATTGTAACTGTCATCTCTATCCATCCATCCGTTCTTAGGAATGATGAACAGATATCTGTAGGATCTCCTTGGTAGTTGTCGAGATGGTCGACCTCCTTTGTGGCTCAGAACCCAGCAAGGTGGGCCTTATTGAAGTCCTCAGCAAGAATGACCTCGTTCATGAGATAGTCGAGCTCTGCTAGTGATTTCATATTTGACCCGCTATAAAACCAGCACATCAAATGAAAGATGGTGGAGTTCAGGAATGGTACAAAGAAGTTATCTTTTACTGATGTAGCAGAGGAGCCAAACCCAGACCACCAGGGTCGAGCACCTGTCTGGTCTGCTGTAAGGATAAAATGAGTCAAATCTGATATGTGTGAGATCGAGGTGAGATTGTCAGGATTATAGGTGGGAAAGTGATTGGGATATGAGCGAAAAAGGCCATATGAATCAGGCTCCATAGTAACATATTTGGTTTCACCTGCAGCTTGAGGTATGTCAGGCTCAATTGGACCATCGTCAATCACTGGTTCATGCTGCAGAGCTGGTGCAGAGTTAGGAATGGGGGGAAGGTCATCACAATAGTGTCATGGCAAGTGGGGCCTCCAATTAGGCAATACGGAGGGATGGATCACTGGTGGAGTTTGTGACCTCGCAACCTATGCAAATATATAGTTAAGATAGATCATACAAATATTCGTAGATGAGACCTTACTGGTATCTCAGCTGGTTTGTCCTCCCCCTCTGTTGTGCTTTCATAGATCAATTCCCGTTCCCTAAGCACAGCATTTCCATCTTCCAGCCATCGAACTTTAGCAGCTTGCACAGCCTTGTGATCTCTGCAACACTCATCAAGAATTGTTGCCATTGCTGCTGTCCATTGTCTACCACACAAGCCTCACATATGATTTGCAAGGGACCATAGAGTATTAAAGGCGGTCTTGCACACAGAACAATGATAGATAGCCATACTAGAACCAAATTGCGAATGGGGTGAAGTAAATAATACCTATTCACCATGTCAGTATTTATACATGTACAAGGACTCACTTTTGCCTACTTCTGTTTTGAAGACCGACAACACCATGAAAGCAGAGGTTGCCACAATAATGAGCAAAGAACTGCAAAAAGGAGACACATAAGCTGTTGATAACGATCTTGAAACATGTTCAGTACATACCTTCCCAAAAACAGACCAAGTCAGGTGAATTCCCTGATGCTGACACTAACGGAGATCAAAGGACAAACCAATGTGAATCAATGAGGAAATACAAGCAAAAGATTCATAAGTACTGCTTCCAGTCTGCACACAATGAATCTGGTCAAAATTGTGTCATTAAATGTAATCTCCATCATGATTGGTATACAAGTAAAATAAAAAAGACCAATCATCTGAGCTGTACAAGCCTTATCTTTCCCACAAGGTTACATGCATGCGGAGGGCCCCAAGTTGGTGCAATGGTATGCAGGGGGGAGTAGGAAACAACACTAGACAGCCCTTAATTAGATTATTACATACCAATTGTACATAAACACTTACTTGCCACGTTCGGATAGTGGGGGGAGGGAGGCAATGAACAACACTTACCAGAGTGGCAGCGTTCTAGGATGAATCCAGCAGCAACATCTGGTGTCAGGCCCGGGATGATTGGCACTATATAGAATATTAGTAGTAAGATGTGAATGAAGGAAAAGACTTACCAACCAATGGGCAAATGATGGTCACCATGTGGTGTGGCATGCAGTGTGGAGAACTGACAAGTCTGATGTGCGCAGCCAGATCCAAACAAGACCATGCGGCAATTTCCAATTAATGTTCAAACTCTGATTATAATCTTATCCATGGATATTGATTTGGTCATTGATTCAGTTGACAATACCTTCATCATGCCTGTTGATGCCAATGAGCTAGATGCCAATGAACAAAATACTAACCACTTCTAGGCCATTTTAAGGAGTCTTGATGGTAACTTGTCAGGTGGATGCAAACAAAAGTGCAGGTTCATAATTTCACATCTTAATTCTGATATTCAGGTGCCACTAATATCAATAGCAATGTCCTAGATCCATATCTGTCTTCTGCTCATTTTTTCTGCCTCAACTATGACCTATTTGCTCACTTTGATATAGTTCTTCAGGAGGGCACGCAGGCACAATTCAATCCTGATTGGATAGATCCAGACCAAGATCAAAGCGAAGAGTAAGATTTGTATTTGTGTTTGTGTAGCTAACTTCATCATTCGTTTAGAGCTCAAGCAATCAGGGAACACTGCCTCCAAGTCTACCAGAAGTTTAGCTCATCCATTCCAAATTGGAGTGAGCTCATGAAGAATTTTGAAGCTGAAGCCGAGTCTTTAAATGAGTTTCTAAGGGCAGTGAGCTGCACATATGCGCTTGTTTGAGATGCACTAATATATTTTTAGATGGAAAATGCTGCTAACAGTGCTCGCTGCGATGACATGGGGTCCCTCAAGCACAACAGACTACAATACCTACTCAAGGACCCAGCAAAGGATTGCTTCGATCCCTCCAATTCTAAAGACTCATGGCAAGGCAGTGCAGGGATGGAATCACATGGCCACTGCAAGACTACTTTGTCCCGCTCATAACATTCTTGAGTTCGATGAAGACCCACAGTGAGTTTTGTTTTCTCTGTTGCTTCCATACACTTATGACACTCTCATATGCAGTGCATATATGGACTGAGTGAAGTCAGGGCAGAAGAAAATTACCTCGAAACAATGACCATCCATGTTCTATGACATGAGCCTGTACAACCTGAGGAATAAGAAGTTAGGCTTCTTACGTGGCCATGCAATTGTACAGATGCATTCATCTTTAACTCAGCATCCCACTTTCAAGTATACTCACATCTCATAGGGATGGTGTCACATCTTCACAGGACCAATGTCTGCTTTGTCGAAAGAGTGCACCCATCACTCTTCAAAGCCTGCAAAGGGCAAAAAACACCATCTGATGGAGCCAGGACCCAGAAACATCATGTATGCTGCAATACAGGTAATGTTTCTATCTATCTGCAAGCTATTACAACTACTAAAAGACCTCATTACATCTTACTAGATGTACTTCGTTGCATGTAATGGTGAATCCTGGACATCCGAGGTTGGCACTATGAATCTTAATGACTTATACTATACTGCGGTTGACCTTCTTGAGACGCATGCGGATGAGCAATGGGTGAAGGATTTGTTACAGTTTTGGAAAGTGTCAGTTGTTCTTTTCTTTTTTACTGTATGCTTCATTGATTGTTCTAGCGAGACACCTGGACTTATGCAAGGTCATCCATCGAAGCACTGGAGGATTGCCGCAAACTCAATGGCATCAGACAGCAAAGATGATATGGACGACTTTTTTGGCAATGACTCTGAAGAAACACAAGGCAGATCCGGGTGCAATAGATCGACCATGGATCATGAGTCAAATGCACCAGCAGGCAGTATCAATGATCCAACAAGTACTATGCAACGCGAATCCGACACTGGCAACACTATTGGACTCACTGGCAGCTCCACAGGTGGTGCTACCACAGCGGCTGCTGAATCCGATTCGACATGTGGCACTGCTGCTGCTGGATCAAGCTCAACAGATGGTGCTGGATAGGGCCGACAGGCTGGGTCGGTGGACATGCAACTTGGAGGCATGAATGGCAATGGCAACAGTGATGATGAAGATGACGACGAAGATCAGCCCCGGCACAGACGCAGGCTGTCACGAGTACCTTTAACAAACCATTATTCTTTCTTGAATCTACCTAAGCGCCAATATATAGCGCCTAAGTCAAACCCTAACCCTGCTCTGAAAGCATCTATCATTCCCAAAATACCCTTAGCGCCTACGACACATGTCTTCGATGTGACTGATGAAGAAGATGAGTTCTTTGATTGTGAATAGATTAGATTAGATACGATAAGATAAAATATGGTCACGTGATGCTTCTTTAATATTCTACAATGTTCTATGGTACGATTCCCTTTCCCTTTTTATGATTGGCTAGTAGTTGTATCTCAGTTTCAATCTCAGTTTCAATAGTTGTATATAGGTAGCACATCTTGGTCGATAGTTCCTTAGTTCAAACCTCTTGTATCTACACTGTAGCAATCCAAGACATACTTGCTCATCATTCCTCTTGTTGTGATAACCTTAGTCCGAGTCCTAGTCTCTGCCCAGTGTTAATTCATTATTGGGTTGTGACACAGGCTCAATCAACAAGGTAATATTTTTATTACATACACCGGGTGTTTACAATTGTTTCTTTCTAGAGATCAAAAGGGAGCGCTCCCCATTGACCCCTCCACCCACATCTCCCGTTGTGTCACCAACTCCTGCTCGCGGTCGTGGTCATGGCCGTGGTCCCAGCACCCACCATGGTTGAGGCAAATGTGGTGGCAAATGTTGATCCTTGACTTGCTTATGCTTTCATCTTGTCACATTGTTCTCAATGTTGTCTGCACTGCTCAATCAATGAATTTCAAGTGAATTGTGATATATGTTCTCTAAGTCAATACATGGATAGGAACTGTTGCACAACAACCAAGACCTGAACAGGTTCAAAATCTCTTACATGTTGACCAGTTCTTACAAGCTCTCCCTGACTGTACATGACCCACAAGTTCTTGAATGGTTCACCTGTCTTGTCACAACCTTACATAAAACCCGAACCATTGAAGCTCATGCATGGTGTCTCACCAGCCTGGTGTTGCCTTGTGGCACCTAGTGAACCTGGTGTATTTATACATGACCAGGTGACAATATATAAGGTGGGTGCTCATTTGTTGATGATGGTTAACACTTAACATATTATAGATTCTCAACAATGACGGACACATAAGTTGTACTACATACAATCGAGTACCACCGGCACGACCGGCACCTGTTAAATTTCAAACTCCTCGCTTGTCCTGCCAAATTTCTCTGAGATCTAAGATAGACCGCAGTCATACTTTGCTTGATCATGTGATCATTTTCATGACAAAAGTGCCAGAATTGCATCTTGACCTTCAAATTGTCCTTCATTCGCAAAATTAAAACCAGAGAAAGTTAGCTAGAGTACATCCCCAGAGGACCTAGGTTTCAGAATTAGAATATAGCTTAAACTGGGAGTAGAGATAGCTTTTTCATACTCAGAACACAATGCATTGTACTTTGTCAGCTACTCAATGATCCACTTCAGCAGCCAACAACAGAACAAAACTATCTCTCTACTATGCCAAAATGAAAATTGTTTAATGTTGCAAACCTTGGAAGTTGGGCAAAGTCACTCGGACACTCAGGAAACAAAGAAAATGTAAGAAACCTTGTAATTTAAAGCAACTACAGAAATACTAAGACAATGGCCACAGGAAGTCCCAATGACAATCAATGTGTCCGAGTCTCCTCCATCCAGTCTGAAGAGGAAAAAGAGAAGAGTAACAGTTACTGCGGTATTGGATCCTCCTCCATTTGTGCTACCAATAATAGAGCCATCTCTGAGTCCACTTTATGAGTCCAAGCTCAAGCATCCAAGTCAATGTGCCATGGGAGAGGCTTCTCCCCCAGATTCAAACGTAAATATGGCTAGTGCCTGGATAAATAAATACTGTAACAGGGTTCTATGGTGCCGATCACTTAGCGACCGCCACTTAAGTGCAGTGGCCAAACTGACCTCCAGTGACCGATAACATAAACCCTAACCCTAAGTATGATCGATACAGGTTGGCGACTGTGTGCGGATCCTCCGACACAGCTCCTTCGATCTTAGTGCCCCATGGTTCATGTTACAGTAGAGACACATACACAGATGCTTTGTGAATACAACTACCAGTCTCCATGTCCACCTCCAAGAAGCTTGCTGCTGCCCGTGCAAGAGCAGCACGATGGCAAAATGCACCTGGGCCTGAACATAGCAATTCCACTTCCACCACCGACGAACCACCTCCGCCGCTACCAACACACGCTGCAGAAGCACCCAACATTGAAATCTACTCAATTTTATCAAATATTTCTGGGGGAAGGTCAAGAAATACCTCCAGGACAACTGCGACGGCACTTTCGAGATGTTGAAAAAGAATATGCCCTTAGCGATGCAGTCTGTGCAGCTCCGTACAATCCAACTATGGGAACATCGCATGCACCGCTGGATGGAGGCATATCGGACAGGCCTGGGGATGAAAGATGCTCAATTTCAGGTCAAGCAATTTAGTTCTACTAAGTATAAGTCACATAGACATGTTCCTGAGGCAGTGGCATGTACTTTTGACTGACGGGGAGTCGTAGTTCTATATGTGGCCAAATCGGCATCTTCATGAAAAAATTTCTCGCTCAAATTTGATCCAATCGAAAATTCCTCTTGTAGGTTTACTCTACTCGTTGAAAGGATCATTTCTGCAAGAGCATATAAAAATCTGATGTTTTTCATGGGGGTGGGAACCTTGCACAAAAGTAGCGGTATCTAAGTGATCAGCACCATACAAGCCCTCACCCACTGTCAAGGAGGCACACTTAGCCTTCAATGATATCAAAAGGATTCTTAGACCACCAAAGAAGACTGCTGGCTACGAAGACCCTAAGCTTGACTCAGTCTTTCGTCGCCAACTCAAAGGAATGAAACAATTCTTGTGGGTCTATGTTGACCCTCAGTCTTTGGCATATGGAAAGTGGACAATGGCATCATTACTTACTGCAAAAGCTCTAGAACAAAAGCCCGCACACTCACAAGTACTCCGTGAACGAGTACATGCCTTCATTGCAGATTGTGAGAACCTTCCATTTAATATCTATGGGACATGGAATGAGTCATTACTTGACAAAGGCAAGGATCTTGCATAAGAAATACACATCCATCTGCAGGGAATTGGAAAGGATGTGAAGGCTATGGACCTTGTTGACTTCCTCAACACACCAGAAATGCGAAAACAGAGTGGACTCATGAAGTGAATTCATCTTGCAACTGCACAATGATGGATGAAAAAGCTCGAGTACCGCTGGACAAAAGATCCCAAAGGTCAATTTGTCGATGGTCATGAAAGAGATGACATTGTGGCTTACCGGCAGGAAATTTTCTTGCCTGCATGGGCAGCAATCAAGGAGAAGACTCGAGATTGGTCTTGTCATGAGAGAGATGGATATTACCCTTGTCCATCACTACAGGAACAGAAGACAGTTGTATGGTGGCATGATGAGTCCACATTCTATGCAAATGATCATCGCAAAACATGATGGGTCCATAATAGTGAAACAGCCATGCCCTATGCAAAGGGAGAGGGATGGTCACAGATCTTGTTTCTGCTGATTATGGGTGGCTGCGGTCACCTGATGGAAAGAGGAGGCTTGTGTCTTCTTCAAAACAGGAAAAAATCATGAAGGGTACTTCATGAACCAGGACATCCTTGAACAAGCTCAAAGATCAATGGATATTCTAGAGAAGCACTACACCAATGAAAACCACGTCCTCGTGTTTGACAATGCAACAACTCACTTAAAACGTGCAGATGGAGCTCTCTCAGCAAGAAATATGCCAAAGGGAACATCAAAGGTGGAAACAAATTGGGGTGTGGAGGTCAATATTTGAGATGCGGCCAGCAAACAAGTTTATGGTGCAGATAGCAAGCTGTTGAAAGGAAAAATTCAAATGGGTGATGCAACCTTCGCAGATGGATCAAAACAGTCACTCTATTTCGGTGAAGATGCTGGACTCAAAGCTGGTCTCTTCAAAGGTATGGCTGTGATCTTGCACGAGCGAGGCCTTATCCAGGAATCGAAGCTGCGGGCACAGTGCAAGGACTTCAAGTGTGCAAAGGGAGCAACAAATTGCTGTTGTCATCGGGTCCTATACAATCAGCCAGATTTCATCGCTGTCGAGTCAAATCTAGAAAGGATATGCAAAGCAAGAGGATTTTCAGTGTTATTCCTTCTGAAGTTCCATTGTGAACTTAACTTCATTGAACAGTGCTGGGGATATGCAAAAAGAATTTATCATCAATATCCCACATCATCGAAATAAGCAGACCTTGAACGAAATATTCTTTCGGCTCTCGAATCAGTACCGCTCGACAGTATGCGCAAGTGTGTTATTTGTTGCAATCTTACATTAAAATGTTCACACCACTCAGGTTTTCAACACGAGCCTGCTGGTTCATGGATGCATACCACAAAGGACTGAATGGGAAGCAAGCTGCGTGGGCTTCAAAGAAGTACAGAGGCCACCGAGTACTGCCAGATAGTATTTTGCGCGATCTCGAGGAAGCTGATGTGTAGTGTGAATGTCGATAGTAAATGTAACATAGGTCACAGTCGGGTCACCGCAAAAGTCACACCACGTGATCAAGCGAAGTATGACTGCGGTCTATCTTACCAGCGCGCCACTCGACTCGTCCGTGGTGTTAGTAAACCAGGCTGGTAACGAACCTAACGTATGACACACGAACACTCCCGTGCAAATCCAAACACTATATACTTTGAATTAGTAGTGGTGCTACAAGTACTTGTACAAAAAATAATGTATGTCTGTTCTGTAATCAGTGATCCGCTTTGCAGGTTCAAGGTGGCCATAAAGGTTCGATACGCTGATACTATAGTCGAAACTGTATTGTACCCACCCTTGCTGACACGTGCACAAGGTTTCATCTTATAGCAAGTGAAGTGCGGAGTCCATTGGCAGAATGGAAGAGTCGTTATCGACTGCATTGTAGTCGTCGCTGATGTAGATAAGCAATGCCCGGTGTTTCCGGGAAAGGGCGGGACAGAGATGCGACATGGCATCAAGAATATGTATGTCGAAGTAGACGCAGTACTATGCAGTCAAGGTTGCTTCGACGCATCAGCTTGGAGCTCGTCGAGCGGAACGCGAACAAGCCGTTCTCCGGTGAGTGTTACGGCGCCGTTACTGGGGACTTCCAAGTGCTGTTCCCGGGTGTTCACTGAAGAATAATCAGATCACAAGCTAGGATGGTCAGAACTTCACTTACAGAACAAACTCAAACTTTGGAACATGAGAGGCCACTGTTCGAGCACCTGACCATGTACTGTTAGAGAAAATTAATGATAGACGAGGATCAAGATGAGAGGAATATACCTTGACCAGCGTCAGCCATAACTTCGCAATCATCTGCAAGACCTTCGATGCGCTTGAGGACAAGAGCGCTAGCACGTTCAAGGGCAGCAACGGCCTCAAATTCTTTCTTTTTCTCCTGCAAGCGTGACGTTACTGAAGCATATTATTGGCCTGCGATGCTAGGGATGCAGCATGTGAAATGCGACTCTGAGCAACGGATTGACGCATGGTTTCTATTTGCAAGTGAGAGCTGCGCGGTCATTTTAAAAATCCGACGGCTGCCGTCTGCTAAAATTCATATCAATATCAATAGCCGTGTAAACTTATAAGACACTTTGTACATTCATTAATCCTGACAGTGCTCATGAACATGAATGTTATTCTTCCATCGAGGATGAGAGACCAGGGATGAGAACGAGCGTTCTGTGGTCATTAAGAAAAGCGTTGTCGATGGCCAGCAGCAGTGGTCTTAATCAACCAAATATGCTCCTGCATATTTAACCAAATTATGTAAATTGTGACAGCAATAACGATTCTGCCAAATCCACCAGAACCATGCGGAGAAGTACATGCAGGGTATAAAAGCTGGTCATCGTTCTACAGTGTTTCCCTATTGTGAGAAAAATGGTGATATCTGAGCCTGAGTCGGAGATATTTACGAGAATGAGCATAGCTTTGTCCCCGTGTTGGCTGCGTCACTGCAGGTTCGAATGATGATACGACGAGTGAGAGATTGGGATGAGAGACCGAGGATGAGAGCGAGCGTCCTGTGGTTATTAAGAAGAGACTTGTCGATGTTGCCAGCATGTTATGACGCAATGGTCGTAATCAACTGAGTACGCTCCTGCATGTTCGACCAAATTTGTGCTATCTGACAGCAATAACGATTCTGCCAAATTCCCAGAACCCTACCCGGAAGTACATGCAGGGTATAAAGGCTAGTCATCGTCCCAGTGTTTCCCCATCCCCTCAGAGGATTCTATATCTCCTCGCAAAGAAAATGCGTTTATCGTTCCTCGCCGTTGTCATTGCTTTGACAGCATCTATGTCTGTCAGTGCCGCGTGTGGCGGAAAAGGAGTCCCCTGCACAAAAAGTACAGATTGCTGTACAGGCTATCATTGTCCATTTGGCGTCAGTGTGAGTAGGTCAATGTGCAACCAGGAATCAGATGACTCACCTGTGGGACTTAGTTACTCGTAGCCCATACATGCACAAAAAATTGAGCCAAAAGCCCGAGCAGCACATCGCCAGTGAGTCATGCTTCTGCTTTCGTTTTGGTATCATGGTTGACGGTGCAGTATCTAGTTCGGAGCAAATCAGTACACTTCAGGTCATACGGCGGGGGGCATCAGGAACCTGTGAACAGATGAGATCAGTATATATTCAAGTTGTTGAACAGACGTAAAACTGCCAATCACTTTCACACAGGAATGTTTTGTATTGTCGAGGAAACACCGATTTGCAAACACACGATCTGTATAAGTTGTCAATGGGGTTCACATTGATGTTGGAGAGCAGCCCGATGGTTCTTCCGTGGCATAGTGTTTAATACTATAGTACCTTTGCACGCCAAATGGCAGTTGAACCGAAAGCCCGAGCGGCACTTCGCCACAGTGAGCCATGCTTCTGCTTTCGTTTTTGTATCATGGTTGACGGTGCAATATCAAGTTCAGAACTAATCAGTATACTTCAAGTTGTTTGTGGATATCTTCATGCTGCTGAGCAAATGATGGGTGTTTGAATTTATCTGGAATTGATCGACCGTGCTTAGTAGTCCACTAAGCTTGAGTTCGGGAGGCTGTCGAAACGAGTGATCATTGCTGTTGATGATTGATATCGGGAGGTCATACAAAGATGGAACTCGCTCCAACAAAACGACAATTGTGATTCGTGACAGACGTGTTATTTTCTGGTATGCAGTCAAAACACAAGGTCATACGGCGGGTGTGGGGATCATCCAGAGCTTTCCTTTTTCTACTTAGTGAGACCAGTAATACAAATCAGTCATTTAAGTGCGAAAAGGGACTTGGAGATTTTGCTGATGCTAGTAAGTCCTTATCGCCATTTACTTACAACAGAGCGCTGAGCAGTGAGCTTACGATGTTTGTAGACATTTTACAAGTCCGCCGGCTTGCCGGCTGCTAAAATTAATATCTATAGCCGTGTAAACTTATATTAGATATACGACATTCATTGATCCTGACAGTGCTCATGAACATGAATATTATTCTTCTATCGAGGATGAGAGACCAGGGACGAGAGCGAGCGTTCTGTGGTTATTAAGAGAGTTGTCGACGACCAGCAGCAGTGGTCTTAATCAACCAAATATGCTCCTGCATATTTAACCAAATTATGTAAATTGTGACAGCAATAACGATTCTGCCAAATCCACCAGAACCATGCGGAGAAGTATATGCAGGGTATAAAAGCTGGTCATCGTTCTACAGTGTTTCCCTATTGTGAGAAAAATGGTGATATCTGAGCCTGAGTCGGAATTATTGACGAGAATGAGCGTAGCTTTGTCCCTGTGCTGACAGTGTCACTGCAGGTTCGAATGATGATACGATGAGTGAGAGATTAGGATGAGAGACCGGGGTTGAGAGCGAGCGTCCTGTGGTTATTAAGAAGAGACTTGTCAATGTTGCCAGCATGTTATGACGCAATGGTCGTAATCAATTGAGTACGCTCCTGCATGTTCGACCAAATTTGTGCTATCTGACAGCAATAACGATTCTGCCAAATTCCCAGAACCCTACCCGGAAGTACATGCAGGGTATAAAGGCTAGTCATCGTCCCAGTGTTTCCCCATCCCCTCAGAGGATTCTATATCACCTCGCACAGAAAATGCTCTTATCGGCCCTTGCCCTTGTTTTTGTTATTGCTTTGACATCATCTATGTCTGTCAGTGCGTGTCAAAAATGGGGAGAATGCAGATACCGTAGTGATTGCTGTCGGGGCTATAATTGTCTACCGAGCGTGAGTACGAGCAAGCTGTGCAACCAAGAATCAATCGCATGACTCACCTGTGCGCTTTAGGCTAGAAAAGGTGGTGTCAAATTCTGCAAGCAGGAATGAACCGAAAGCCCGAGCGGCACATTGCCGCAGTAAGTCATGCTTCTGTTCTCGCTTTGGTATCATGGTTGACGGTGCAATATCAAGTTCAGAGCTAACAGTATACTTCAAGTTGTTTGTGGATATGTACTGCTGAGCAATATGGATGTTTGAATTTATCTGGAATTGATCGACCGTGCCTAGTAGTCTACTAAGCTTGAGTTCGGGAGGCTGTCGAAACGAGTGGTCATTGCTGTTGATGATTGATATTGGGAGGCCATACAAAGATGGAACTCACTGCACAGGTTGAATCCGCTCGTCTAACGTTGGCCTCGAAAGCTAGTTCATGGATCTCTCTCTTGATGAAGCCAACAAAACGACGATTGCGATTCGTGACAGACGTGTTATTTTCTGGTATGCAGTCAAAGGCCATATGGCGGGCGGGGGCCATCAGCCTGTGAATAGATGAGATCGGTATATTGTTGAACATCGCAATAATAAACGTAAAACTGCCAACCGCTTTCACATGTGAATGTTTTGCATTGTCGAGGAAGCAACGACTTACAAGCACGCGGCCTGGTAGCCAAATTGAAGATCTGTCAGCTGAATGGATCTAACAAAATGCACAAGCACAGGTGCATAAAGCCAAGTATGGACCCAGCCTAAGATGGACGATGAAATCGATAAGACCGGTTAGTATCATGAGACAGTGAGCACGCAGGGTGCAACTATCCACTAATACCTTAATGCCGGGTCCGTGAAGCAGGCTAGATTCTGGTGTTCAATGGTGGAAGGACGAAGCTAGAATAGTCTATGCAATGCAAAATGTCTATACATAACGTGGTCCAATAACTTGAAAGCATATAATATTGCGTACCTCAAGATAAAACATCATTGCGATCGGAGTCGGGGACTTGCTGCATCAGCGGCGGTACGGATCTCGTACCCTGCTTCGCCCAAACCTATCCACAAGTGACTATTTTCAACGAGCGAAGACAACCAATTGAGGGATTCGAAGCCAGTTTATCTTACAGAAGCCCGCAAATCTAGCGAATTGATCGCTGGCGGGAGTTCAATACGTTGCTCATGAGGATCAACCCCGTAGCAGGATTCGCCGGTGGGGAAGATTAAGGATGGCATGACTGAGAATACTTCGGTAAGTCGACAAAGATGCATAATGGGTGTCCTGGAATAAGGTTGAGATCATCCAGAAGCACGGCCTTCTTCTCCCGAACGCCAACCATGCAAGTGACTCATCTGACTTCGGGTAACCAGGTAGGTCAGGTGTCGAAAATGGCGCTGATCCCCAATCGACACATTTGGTTGACAGATAAACTACAGAGCGCATGAATCCACCCTGTAACATCGCGTTCACAGCCCAAGATGCACCAGCGAATCTTGAGCCTGCATACACATTCCAGAATACCTTCGATTCATCAACTCTGTTGTTACGAAGATTCCAATGTCAAGCTTGATCTGAGCCGCACATGGCACATAGATGACACTGATGAGATTGCCGAGATGAATGGGCTCGCAGCCTTCTCTGTTACTCGCATTTAATCGACACGATACATGTAGTCCTGTCAAAGCTATCCCTAGGTATTGTCGTACTTTAGTTCATGGAGATTTCTAAGTGACACAACTTGCATAGTACGCACATGTGTATTTTCCAACAACCAACTATTTAGATGGCATGATGCCAGACGATTTTGGAACCACTGTAATCATGTTTCTGTCTGTCGAGGATGTCCGTGTATCATGATGAGCTCATGGATTGCTGGTGTTATTATCTCAACCTTGAAAATTAAATGGTACAATATCTTTCATACTCCGACAGTCATCTAGCCTCTACGTCGTGTCTGTCTCAAGTATGTACATATATGATCATTGTCACGCGTTCAACTGCCCGTTTCAAATGAACATTCATGCATTCATGTGGGCCCGAGGCCTCGCTTTCTTCCCACCACTGTTTTATTTCTTCTCCGCTTTGGTGCTTGTTGGACGCATGGTAAAGAGGCGCTCATCAAAGTAAAACGAACGTGTTTGATGCCATACCCAATCACTTCTCTTGTAGCGACGCGGACGTAATACGCTAGTAAACAGGGTTCGGACGTTGAGTTTCGGCCACCTCTTGGCCTCTCAGGTAAGTTATATTTATGTTCAAAAGCTCGTGATTATGCGCTAGTAGTCACCTATCTGCTGACAGAGGCAGCGTGCGCCAATCACAGGGGGGTACTCTTGCTGTCATTTTGGGGAGGTTCACTGTAATCTCTGAGATCGACGTAAACCAACTCTCTTGGACGGTTTTCTTTAAAACATT